GGGGGGGGGGGGGCATTTGTTGTGTTTGAATATAACATAATAATTGTGCATGTTTTTAAAAATAAAAGTTTTGAAGGGTCCTTAGTTCCGTTACCCCCAATTTTAGGTTGTTTTGGTTACGTAATGTTCCTGTGTTGGAAGTGCTGGGCAGGCAGTCGAACTTTGCCGTTGTTTTCAACAATTCTAGAGGACACACAAATATAGCGAATACATGGCAGACAGGGGAGGCGGGCGGATCGGCATTTATAATGTAATTTTGGTTATAACAAAAGAAAGTTGAAGTTAACACATTAATTAAGTAATTAAGTAATAAACCACTAATTTTGACAATTGGAGTAAGCGCTCATAAAGCGGATAACCTATAATTTATATTGGCTCTATACTATGACTATGAAATGAAAGAATTGCAGTTACACTCAAACACATATATTTTATAGTCTCACAAAAAAAAATATATATATATTGTTGAGGAACCTAAAATTATGGGGATAACTGCACTAAAACTATGGACTAATTAATTAATTAGTATAAAATATTAAAAAATTATTGTTTTGTTGGTTTTAATGAAATGACGCGGAAGTAAATAGTAGGCCTACAATGTGTTTCTTAACTCTTCTTTATAATACCGGTACTTTATTTACGGTTAAATATGTAAACACCATGAATCCATATTTTAACATATTTTCATTAGTTTTTAATGTGTAAATTTGGAAAGGGGAAAAAATAAAATAACGAAGATATAATCTGATATATATATAAATTATTGACAAAATTAATGTAGCAGTAATAAACTTAAAAAAAAAATATTTTTAAAAATAATTTGTTTATATTTTTGTATGTGTTTACCTGGCTATGTCATGATCGAAATACAACACAAACAATGGAGCTAGAACTAGAACTTTACTTGTCCATTGTTTGAAGCACATATATAAACTCATAGACTGATAGATCATATCAATGCATAATGAATGATAATGTTGCCATAATTATTAATAACACGTATCGTTTACAGCTTGATAACAAACTTAGCCACAAATAATTTAACACGTAGATATAATCGCCACAAGGTAATACACAAATCGTAGAAGGTAGGACTAGACTAACTAGAACTTACTTTACTTTACTTTGGCGATATGATATTATTGATATCAGTTGAAAAAATAACATTTTTATTATTATTAATAATAATATATTTATATATACGATATTCTTAACTTAATAAATATTTTGTAAATTATAATTCTCATGAATAAAATTGACAAGTCCAGCTGTCCATCGAAATTGATTTACTTACTGAAGACTTGATTGGGATTTGATTTTGATTGATTCAAATAATATAATATTCCATAATATTTATATTGTCAATATTTATATTGATGTTTGGATTGATTTCAATATTGAAGTTGCAGTGTGCCTTCTAACTCCTGGTTAATCTGTAAGTTGGAAATTAGTCTGTCGCATGGAGGAGACATAGGCATAGGCCTACTTGATAAACTTGGTTGTGTTTTCATTTCCAATCTTACTGGTCTACTTGGGCTTTTCAGTCTAAGAAATAGGCTAATGGTTGGCATTATACTTATAATCTAATAATTATAAAACTTAGTGTGAGTAGTGGACTCAGGTGAGCAGGCCAGAATTCAGTTCCAGCCTGGGGGCTTTCCTTGGTACACATTAAATGAAATGCCTTACACAGTACACATTGAATGAAATGCCTTACTCTAAGTAACACTTGCTTATTTGGTTTTTGCTTCAAGATTCACTCTTATTGAAGAAGATTGATAGATATATATCTTCAGCTTCATTTACATTTGTTTGTTATCAATTATTCAATGCCAGATGATATAGCATTCAATTTCAGTTATAAATTTTAGCAAGAGATAAAACTCAAGTGGGTAAAAATAATTAAAGAAACATTCAAAAGATAGTGATTGAAAAGCCTAGCATTTAAAAATGTAGGCCTATAAATTATAAACTTGACTTAAATGCAGGTATATGCATGCAGTTGAGCTGGGAGTAGTGGGAGCAAGTAGAAACCAGCAGATTTTTTTTCTCTTGAACTAGAGCCTGATTTTTTTTTTTTTTTTTTTTTGGAGGAGGCTGCTATAAACTCCAGCTCCTTGATTGCTTTAATTTTACTGAATTCACTAGCACCATATCTTTATATTGCAATATCGTAAAAAGCGAAATTGCCCTAATCTAAACCTAATACTTCAAAGTTGAAATAATTAATAATAATACCTGTGCTACCAAGACAAGTAATTCTCATCTATAAAATTTTTTGGGAGAAGCAGGCCCACCTGAAGCTCTTCGTTAATTTTTTGTAAAAATTAGGGCTAGTACCATTACTAAGATTTATTTTTTGTGATTTAATTTTTTTCTCATAAACTTCATACCTGGTTATAAATAAAAAAAATTAAAACTACAATTAAATTTTGTTGCCATTTTCAAAAATTTCATCCCAGTTGTGTATGAAGAACAATAATGAAAATACTGTTTTTTTTCTATTCTCTCTTATTTGTGATAAGAACTTGAGATTTTCCATTTAATTTTAAAACTAACATTTTATTATAGTTAAATTAAAAATAAACTTGTATCAGCTACAAAAAAATAATGTTGCCTGACTGCGGTATGAGTTATTTTACTGCATAGCTATAGTATATATAGGTTTAATTTTAATGGTTTTAATTGTCTTGTAATCAGGTTTCAAGTGTACAACAAAACACATTTTCATATTGAAAGGAAAACCCATTCGAATTCCAAGATCATTATTTTAAATTTAACAAAATTTAGAATGACGCATCAAATGGCATCATGAGGTGAGCTACTTATAAAATATTACCATGAGAATTTACTAATTTAAATAATATAATTAATATTAAATTTTGTGTTGTTTTTTTTTTTTTTCAGTTAGTAAATTAACAGCTAATTCTGCTGTCAGACCATCATATAAAAATGCTGAGGATCTTTTGTCGTGGTGGAAGAGTAAAAATATTTCTTATCCAGCTAGCAGTGGCAATTTATTTGTTTTTAGTGGCTTTTGCTCTATTTAACTACTGCAATCACTGTATTGTCACCTTGCCTAGCAGTCTCATGGATGAATCCAACATTCAGGGCTCACTACCAGGGGATTGTAAATTGGACTTTCACAAACTTGGTAAAAATTTACTTATTAAACTGTGGAATAGATTTGTGACTAGTTAAATTGCAGTCTTATCACAAAATGTGCACATTTCAAAATTTAAGATATGTTTTAAAAAATAGATAAAAAATTAGGAATTTTAGATTTATAATTTAATTGAAGAAAAAAAAAGGCACAAAAAAAAATCATTATTTGTATTTTACCATTCTCCAGCTCTTGTGATAATCACATTTAAAAAGTTATGGGATAATATCAATTATATGTTGACTATGAATTCACTAACTCAATCCACATAAAATGATTTAGCCAGTTTTCTCTTTTAACCCCCTGGTTGACCACCAGGTAACGCACAAGAGGTTAAATGCAAATGTGAAGTCTAATCCTTAAAGGGGTATGACCCTATTGTTTTTTGAGCGATAATCATTTCATTATTATAGGTAGTTTTATAATAATTATTTGTTATCTATTCTGGTTTCATCAAAATGAATACTTCATCAGGCATTCAGGATGTCAACAAATATAATGAGCCAACAGAGGAAAGCATTATTGCATCGAACCCACAAGTGAAGATTGGAGGAAAGTGGGCTCCTTTAGATTGTACAGCGTGGCAAAAAGTGGCCATAATACTACCATACAGAGATAGAACACATCCTTTAAGAATTTTACTCCGTCGCCTTCATCCCATGCTGCAGGCACAGAAAATAGATTACCAAATTTTCCTTGTTGAACAGGTAGGTGTAGCCTCAGTTTCAGCTAGCTTCACTAGAATTTTGTGCATTTATGTTTTATTTTATTAACTTTATGAATGAATTTTTGAAATATTACTTATTTGGACTAAATTGTTTTAGGTTACTGTCTTTTAGCCTTAGTTCCTTTCATAATTTTTTACTTTTTTATATCAATGGGCAAATAATTTAAAAAAAAAACCAAGCTGTTTTGAGACTTTTCACCAATCAAATTAACTTCAGGCAATAGCAATGGCGAAAAGTTTTTTAAACTAGTTTCTATTTCTTGGCATATTTTCAATTTGCCCTGTCCGCTAAGAAAGGCTCTTAGCCTAAACATTCTTCTCTTAGTGTCCTATCTTTGGATTCCACCTTCTACATACCTTGTTCTACTATTTCCTTCACACAGCTTGAACACAGGCCCTCATTTATTATACTCTATTTAGGCAGGTACTGGCCAGTTTAACAGAGGTAAATTGTTCAATGTTGGCTATATAGAGGCTTTAAAACAAAGCAATTTTGACTGCATGATCTTTCATGATGTAGATCTACTCCCAGAAGATGACAGAAACCTCTACTTGTGTGATGGACATGGCAGACACTTAGAGACTGCCACAGATGATTTAAGATATCAGTAAGGCTTCCTGTTGTATTTGTGTAGAGATATTGCCAGGAATGGAATAAAAAATAATATATTCTTTCAAAGTTTTAACAGTTTGATAACCTGGGCTTTAATGTGGTTAGTAGGAATAAATCATTCATAATTTATTGTTCTCCCATTTGGAAAAAAAAAAATTAAACAAAGATTTTCTTTGTAATCAAGAGTAAGCCAATATGTTGTTTATTTATAGAGTTATAAAAAAATTGGGGCGTAAAATCATTTTAAAAAATTTTTCTAATGGAAAAAGTATACAAAACTATTTCTCATGAAATACATTAACTGAATTCAAGATTTTCAGATTGTTTTGTCGTGTCCAAATCGTAGAATATGTTTATGGAAATTATTTCTCAAATTTATATTCTGTTTCATAGAATTTTTGTTTTGGACAAATTTTTCTTTGATACCTTGATAATTCTATTACTAATAATGACTTCCCACATAAATCTTTGTTTCAGTTTAAAATACTATAATTATGCTGGTGGAGTGATTGCTATAAATAGTCAGAATTTTCAACGCGTTAATGGATTTGCCAACTCTTACTGGGGTTGGGGCAATGAGGATGATGATTTCTCTGCCAGGTAAACACTACAGATAGTTTTGGCGAGTGGAAATAAGTATAGAATGCTATTCTTTGATGGTAGCGTCACTACTGTTTATTCTGTAACACTTCAGGGAATACAGTATTTTGTGACAAATCTAATTCCTATCTAATATCTAATATATGGTGCATTCCAGGCATCAAATAAAAATAGTCATACATATTTAAACAATATATTTAAAAAAAATTAAACATTCATCCATTTCCATGTAGAAAAATACTACTTTGATTTTAAAATTAATTTACATAAGTGCACCTCTAATATCATTTTTTGTCCCGTGTCATTTATTGTATTTGTATTTAGAATCACAGAGTCAGGCTTGTTACTCACTCGCCCTCCTGAGTTGATTGGTAGATACCAGATGGTACCGCATAAGAAAAATTCCAGATCATCGTCTGGGTGAGATATTTAATTCTATATCCTTAAGTTTTGAGTTTTTAAAAAGAAATTAAATAACATTCCAATTCCCAAATGAAAGAATACCAAGTTTTAAAGGTCTACAAATATTTCAGTTTCTGTTAACTTTATGAAAATACTGTGTTGTCAAAATGGTAATAATCATTTTTAAAGAAATTAGCATATGTTTTAAGAAAACATTTCTTAATTTTCTTGTAGGAATGGCATGTTTTTTGGCTGGAGGAGACGGTGGCAAACAGATGGATTAAATGATCCAGTGGGTATGAACTACTCTGTGCTAAAATTAGAAGAAACACCATTATTCACTCGAGTGTTAGTTGATATTGGCAGTCCTCCAACGGACATGAATGTTTTTATGCAGGATCACTCACAAGATGTCTCGCTGTGGTGGTAAGAAATTATTTTTCATAACTTATTTAAATTAAGTCTTAGTTTTAAAGTGTAGCTCCATTGAAATCTAAAGTATTTGTTAGTAGCATGTGGGGGTTATACATTTTAGTTGAAAACGGAGCTTTGCATTAAAATTCTAAATACTTTTTCTTACTAAAATAGTCCTCAATGAACCATGTGTGTGTAATTTGAGTTGGTAACATGCACTCAAATAATTTAGATATAAGTGTTAAATTTAAATAAAATGTAGATATTTGTAGAGCAGTTTTGTAAAAAAAAAAAAATATGTTTTTTTGTTTTGTTTGTTTCCTTCCAGGTTTTTGTCCTTTTATTATCCTTGATGAGATTCAAGTATTTTCAAGGTCTGGTAATAAATAAATGGCAGCTACACCTAGAGACTACTGAATAAAGAAGTTATTTAATTTACCAAAATTAAAAGTCATCCACTAGTTTGGCAAGCCTTATTTGTTCATCAACAAACCTGCTCAAAGTCAGCTAAATGATTTACAATGAAGTCCTTCATATGTGAATAATTTAATGATTTGTTAAATTTTAAATGGGCTATCAAATGTTAGGACTCAAAAGGTTTAAGAACGTAATAAATAAGTTAATACTTTGTTTATTGGATATTATTTTAAAGTAAATTATTGAACAAATAGGAAGAAGCATTGTTACAATACATACAACACAAATATGGTGTTACAATATTGTGATCAATATTTCTTCTTTGCTACAGGCTAATAATTTGAATATTAATTTATTAAATTCCTATAAAATATTTAAGAGAAAAATGTCCTGGTTATCTTTATGTTAAAAAGTATAACAGTATTGCTTTTATTTTATTTAAGTTTATCCCACATGTTACTTGTGTTTTACCTTGATGCACAGTTTTATTGTCAAGAATCTGCTGTAAATATTGTTTAAGAATATGGATATATATTTAAATATTCAATAAGAATGTTTGAATTTATGCTGACTTAACCCAAACTGCTGAAAATTCACCATAGAACTCATGCATAAAAGAAAACCATATTTATATACGTTTTATTTATTTGTTGTACCGGTAACATATCTCTGCTGCATCTAACAGTTTGAATTACATTTTTTATTTTTAAATCTGGATGCATGGCATATTTTTATGCATTAATTTATTGTATCTCAAATTTTTTTTATTCTGCTGAGTTTTAAGTACAAATATTTTAGCATAACATTTTGGTTTGAAATGTATGAATGATATTCATTTGATATTTCAACCTTAGTCAATGGCTAAAGCTTACACTTACATGTGATGGGTGATTCACCTTGTATTTAACTTACACTGGCTGATAAAACCATAATATTTTGTTGTTTTTTGGAAAATGGACATAATCATATGAACATATCATATATTGTTTATACTTACTTTACGCCTCATAGATTATCTAATTCCTTCAAAATTATCCAGCTTTACAGTTAATAAATTTAACCTTACTTTGAAGTCATAATTATGTGCAAAACCGGGCATGGAGATATCTCAGATATATTATACTCTACCGGTCAGAGAACATGAAAATTTAATTGACAAACACTTTTTGAGAGGACATAAGTTGAGGACTGATAATTAAAGCTCTTGTATTTTGTAGCAGAAATTTTTCTGTAGAGCTTTTAATCATATAAAGCTTTGGATCATTTAACTAGCATTTAAAAAAATATTTACCTTTATTTTATCTTTCTTATGTACAATCAGTTATACATTTTGACCTGTGATTAATCTTTTATCAATCTTTTTTTTTTTTTTTCTAAACTTCATTTTACTTGTTCATGTATCCAGATTGATGTATCTAAAACTTTTGTTTAATATCTGTACATTTTGTTTTCTATAATTGGTTTATTCCAGTTCCAGTGGTTCTCAAAGCTGGTAAGCTGCTAGGTGTGTGCGAAAATTCTAAGACCTTTTAAGTAATTTCACTAAATTTTCATTTGGTTAAAAAGAACAAGTTAACGATATTCAAGGGCTTAAAATTATTGTACAAGGGATTTACTGGCTTACCCTTTCACCGTACAAGAAAATATTTGGCTTCATAATTAGAAACTGAGCTTGTTGCTTCTGACACCAAAGTTTCTTTCTTGGTGGAATTGACGACAAACACATGCACTGCCTGTTCAACTGAGGGAAGGCTCTTCTCATTGTTTGTGTCTGTAAGGGTCAAAAAGCCATTCTGGCACAAGTATGTGGTTAAAAAATGTAACATTTTCAGTATATTGACTACTAGTCCCCTCTCACATACATGTAGTTGCAAACCTGTACATTTCGTGTGCTTCTGGAACTCACTGCATAGGGTAGTGTGTGTGAACATAACAAGTTTGTGAACCACTAGTTTATTCAGTCATAAGTCATCCATAGTTATTTATAGTATTTATGTTAAAATGACACAAATAGATCCTGGGACTGAAACAATATATATATTTGGTCTAATTTCATAGGTTGAGGTCAATGTAATTTTCATAAAAGTTAATCATCCCTGCAATACCTCCACAGTAGAAGATGACAGAAGAAGGACTGTATCTTGTTATTTTTAGAATCTGCTGAGTTTTATCTCAACTGTACTTGAAATTGAGCGTAATAATATGTGAACAAGCTCTGAAATTATTTGTCTTCTTTGTAGATGTGAATGTTACTTATTGATCATGTTTAATAGAAGTCAATGTTACCCACCAGTTTTTTAAAATATTTTTGATAAATCAAAAAACCAAATAAAACTTTTTGGGAGTCCCCGGAGTGCAGCATATTTACATGATGACGACCACGGTGAACTCCTGTTTCATTTTTAACAGAACTTTGTAGCTGGCAATAATTGAAGTTCTTCATTCCAGGTAATTTTTCTAGCACTCCAGTTCCGCAAATTGAGGAGGTTAAAAAACTCAGCTCCAAAGATCTGTTTAAACCTTCAAAATTCATAGTGTGATGGAGGTGATAATGATAATTGGTTTCTATATAAATTTGTAGTGGAATGTTCTGTCAAATCAATGTCTGGAGTGTTTCATTCTTGATTCTTATCAATTTTTCTATATACCTGTCAACATTCCTTAACATTGATGAACCTTGCCTACTGTGGTGTTATTTCCTTTTTATGCCATTTCATAAGCAACAATGTTGTTGACAATCCACCATTTGATTATTGTGTCATATGTTGATAAAGCTGTCTTTAAAGACATTTTTTTGTTGTTGCCCTCCTTTCTTTCTCTCTGTCTCTCTCTAGAGAAAATAGGCTGTCTCCCTGACTGCTTTATCATGTCATTTCATGAGATGCACAGCACAGTGTACTTCAACAGGGTCACATGGAAGATGTTCATTGTCACCAGTACATAAACCTGTCATAACATGGTTGAATGCAAAGAAAACAATCAATTCTTCCAAACACTTAAAAAAACAAACAATTGATACTACTATTGCCTTCTATGAATATGTCAAATATCTTTTACCTAAATATGCTTCAGGGTTATGTTGGCTGTGGTACTTGTTACACAAACTTTATTCATCTAATGAAATCCATAAGCAATAAATATTATTTCATATTCTACAATAAAATAGATCAAGAAATGAAAAAGCATGATTGATGCTGGCTGTTTTAACATGACATTAAAACATTTCCAGTTAATTGTCTTGTTTGGTTCTTATAATTGAACGGATGGCACAGATGTTTTAGAAAGGGATTTTTATTTTGGGCCAGTGTTTCCATTATGGAATACTTTTATAGCTTTGCAAACATTATTTTCTAAAGTTAAATAGTTCCTACCTAGATCATTTATTAACTTGTATATCAAACTTTTAAATCAGGGTAAGGTTCCCTGTTCCCCAAACGCTGTTGGTGACCAGACTAAAATTTGAAAATAATAGAAATGACTGCCTATGCACACTGCATATATCTCATCTTTAGTGCAAAAACTGGAAGAGAAACAATTCAATATTTAAAATGAATAACAATTTAAATCAACATAAAGTTATTAGTATTTCAAAGGGAAGTAGGGGACTGGTTTTAATTAAAAAGATTGTCCATGTCTGGCTCCATATTTGAGTCGGTCTCTAGGCACTCTTTCAGCAGATGGGTTGAGGAGACATGATTTAAAGTTTAAATAATGATGTCATTAATATTATTTATACTATGGGATTTCAATTAAAATTCAAATTGCTCTGGTATCTGAGGGTACATTTACAATCAACACATGCAAGCTTAATTCATCAAGTTAGGGAGAAAATATGATTCATTCTTAAAATCAACCCTTGACAAAGCTTGGACTTCATTTGTTGTAAAATTTAAAAGCTTTTCAGTTTAGAGAAAAAATAACATTGTAATATAATCCATATTTCCTGTACTAATGTAAAAGCAAGGGAACGAAAAATGGAGTACCAGGTCTAATGAAATAAATACACATGGCCAATAAGATATGCTCCTCTCAGACCTGTAGAAAGAATTTGTCTTGTCTTATTCTTGTTCAGACTTGCTGTTGCTTAAAGCATCAACAAATCCTCAAAAACAAAATTTTAACTATTTGTTACAGCCTTATGGAAAATTAAAAATATTAGAAAGACCTTTTAAAATAAATGTTTAGGGTTAGAAATGCTGAAAATATTAAAAATTATTTTATGTACCGGTATCCGGAATTTCAGTCTATATGCATTTACTTAATAATAACACAATGCTATTAACCAGGTTCTCAAAGTATAAATTAGTATGTAGTGCAATATTAACATCAAAATAAGTGGAGGCGTGATATGAACTAAGTTTTATCTTTATTTCTTATGCACAAATCAATATTAACAATATTAATTTTGTTCTCTCTTCCTTGCAATCTCCCTTTTAAAAAAAAGTATAAACCATCATACAACATGATCTAGAAAAAAGTCCTTCAGCACTCAAAATATAATTAATAAACTAATACACAAAACTATTATCACACACTATTATAAAAAAAATATTTTTTTTACATCATTATTTATAAAAAAAGCCGAAATTATAAAACAGTAATACAAGTTGCAGAACGTACTCGTACTAATACAAATCCTATTTCCTATGATTATAATTACTAAAAGGCTAAGAATATATTGTGCAAATAAAAACTGCCACAAAAGTGATTTAAATTTAGCTCATTATTAGTAAATTTAACAATGAAATGATTTCAAACAAATAGTAATAATCTAGCCCTTGCTGCAGAAATGCAGTGCCCAGGGCAAAGCCTGAAAATGCCACTATTCATTGTATAGAAAAAAAGTGCCTCCCCAGCGGCCGATTAAAAACACTTTTGGTGGCCCTTGTCATTGTGAAGTACATGGCATTTAATCCTTTTGATTCACTAGAAAGTTAACATCGAAAGACGTGCCTACCTAATGGTGCCTGTGGCGAGTCAAAGAAAGGCAATTTTTTAAACCAAAGTCCTCTTTTAAAAAAAACAATTAATAATGACAGTAATAAAGATAATGATATTATAATTGACTAGACACATTCACCTCATATCTTTTAATTTTATCAACTTCGGCCTTTTTACAGATCAAATCTTTAAGCCTTTTTTTTTTAGTACAGTAGTAAGATAAAAAACAGAGTAGAAATTCCATCCACAGGTGCAATTGTGAAATATTTTAAATATAGTTCGAATGACTAGTTTCTTAAATTTGATTTTTGCAATGTAGAAAAAAATAGTTTCATTTATCACAATGTAAAGCCTCACAAATCTCTCACAGCACATTGTTATCACAAAAAACAGTTTCAACTTCAAGATAAGTTATATCTAAATCTGATATAATTTTTCCCATTCATATTACTTAGAGGGAAACTCTAGCAGGGAATTGTAAGTCTTGGGATTTGAAAAGACCATTATCCTGGGTCTGAAAGTGAAGCTTGCAATGAAACTGAACTTCAAAGTTGTTGTAACTTTATTAATTGTCAGGAAATACTCTCTGAACCCCAATACTCTCCCAACCCATACTTACCAATAAAATATAACACAACTTCTCTATTCCTGCCTGTGGTTGCTTACATTTCCTGTTCTTCACATTTATGAAAAGACCTTTCCTTTAAGTATCCTCAATGCATGGCAGAACAAGAAAAATACTAGATGGCAACAATTGAATTTGAGATGTGGTATATATATTATATATAAATATCGCTTGAATGAAGAATACTTATACATTTTTCACTGTCAAAAATAATTCATTTAATAAAGTAGAAAATATCAGTTAATTACACTGCCATGTGATTTTAGGCCAGAACAGAAAGGTAGCCATGCACAGCAACCTTTCATATTAAACAGGCTAGTTAAAGCCTGCACCACAAGTCATGTCCAGGGGCTGGAGCAACAGAAATATTTCAAGAAGTAAAAGTAACTAGCTTTATGCATTTTGCAAATTGAAATACTTTTATGGCTGAGTAAAACACAAGTTGGAGCACATATAAAAACTTAAATTCTTGCATGTAGCAGCATCCAACCGTCAAGAAAGCATTGAGGTGAGTACTGATCGTCAGTGAGGAAGTTAACTTCCAATTATGAATGTTGAAATAATAATTTCTTTCTTTTCTCAATAAAAATACATTGTTGTACAATTTTTTAACAATAATTTTAAAAAAGTTATACTTGATTACACTTTTTAAACTTATAAGTTATGCACTTTAAATATTCAAGATCACATTTTATAGAGATTACATCATGATAAGGAATTTTTAAAAATTAATTCAAATCAAAAACATAATGAAATTATTTTTGAAATAACAGCTCAAAAGTGATGTAATAAATAGCAATTAAAATGAACAAAATTTCAAACATCAGTTTATTGCACTTGGAAAAGGAACAAGTTCAGAAACAAATAATCCACTTTGGCCACATTTAATGAAATTTAGTATACCGGTACATGTAGAAATTTTTATTTATTTATTCAAGGTTACAATTATTTATTTTTATCATGTATTGAAAGGTTAACTGACATCTTTGTTGCACAGCAAAAAGTGAGCTCCACATTATTTTGATAAATACATTATCACCAAAAAGAAGGCATTGTTAAATGACATCTCAGACTTGACAGATATGAATATGTCATTTAATTACTTAAGATTTTCAAACAATTAGAGCTCACATAGTATAAAATTCACATTTATTTTTATGAATGCAAGTGGAAAGAAATTGAACTGATTTTATTGTTTAAGGCAGATGAAAAAATAAAAATATTGCTGTAATTTCAGCTGCACCAAAATCCTGCAAAAATCTCTCTCTTTTTTTTTTTAATTGGCTTTTTAAAAAGCAGCTTTTGATATTTGAATGATGGATGTTATAATGGTTATGATTATTTTCAAATAATATAACAGGGTGATGATGAGACTAAAAATACTGCAAAGAAAGACAGGTTTCCCAACAATCTTTTAAAATGCTGCATGAGACTTTCATTCTTGATCATCTGCAGCTGGAAGACCTCTTGCCCTGTTTCGACCTGGAGAAAGTAAAAAAAATTCATTTGTTGCTTGCTTCCGATCAGCAAAAGTTGAAAAAATGTAGAGGCGTTTAATGGAATTAACTAATTAAATACAAACATGGATCACAAACCTGTTCGAATCTGAGAAAGAGAGGCAAGTATTCTTAGCATGAATGCAGCAGGGACAGTGACTGTATCTCGTGTCTCTTCTAACATCAATTCATTCCTTCTAATAATCTAAAAAGTAGAATATATATTTACATTAATTTAATATTAATAAGAATGTTTCCAAATGAGGGACACAAAGAGAATTATTAAATTTGGAAATCTATATTTAATTGAAATATTACTTCCATTGTTATATCTCACCAGAGCAAGGATTTTTAAGGATTATCACAATGTAAATTTCAGCTGGTAAATGTCAGTAAAAACTTTGATTTTAATAATTTTAGTTAATCTTTTGGTGTGGTTTAAAATCTGAATATTCCCATACAAATATGATCTTGAAAGATAATGGAAAAATATATTTACCATTTCTACCTTGTCTTCCTCAAACTGTGAATCTTCTTCCAGAGGGCTCCAAATCTTTATGTCATAATCAATGCCACTAGAAGCTATCACTGAAAACAATAAAAAAACAACAAAAAAACATATTTACTTATTACTAACAATGCTTTGGAAAAAAAACAAAAAAACTTTTGTCTCACTTATGAATTATGCTCAGATATGTCAACCTGTAAATTTGACAGCATTTAAGTAAAATTAACACAAATAGACATAAGCACCTCATCTCTTAGAAAAAGCAGTGCCTCTATCACAATGTAACATTTACTTCCACTACAGCCTATTTGTATCATAAAATAAGATTTATTATGATTTGTGAAAATCCAGTAATTTTTTAATTTTTAAAAATTATTAAAAAAAAAAAAAAAAAAAAAAAAGGGGTCATTATCCTACAATAACATTTAAGTTTCAGCTTAACTCAATTTCAATATAGTAGTTATTTGTTGTAAATTATTCATAGAGGTGAAAACACAATATTTTTTTTTGTTTCCTTCCAACAATAAAATAAATAACATAGCTGTATAATTATTTCCATAACTGCAGTTATAAGTTTGTGCACTTGCACTAATGAGAGTAATTTTTGCTCACAGAACATAGCAGTAAGCCAAATTAATTAGTTTGATCCATTGCAATGTCCCAACCTCAGTTGGATAAGGGGGCTCAGTGTGTTCTGAGTGACTTGAAGGAAAATACCAAAGAAAGCAAAGCCTTAAAGAGCTAAGAGGTCCATAAACTCCAAAATATAAGCCATTGTTTGGAGAATAAAATGCACGCTGAAGCCATTTCTACGACTGCTAGGCTATCTAGGTTCAGAACATGATACAAATACAACAAATATAATGGTACCAAATAATTTGTTTGGTGCAGGCAGAAGAAAAGGATACCTGGCACAAATAAATTTGGCTGTACACAGTTGACCACATGTTTGTCTGCATCCATATACATGACCATTCTTCCAGTCTCTCTTTCCCAGGCCAGCAGACGTCCACAGTCCGAGCCAGAAATCACATAATGTTCACCATAGAAGTTGGCCTCTTTGATCTGGAAAAAATTTAGCTGTTAAAACAGGAGGTCTGCATGCATGCCATGGTACTGAGTTCATGTACCGGAGCATGTTCAAAAGCCTTAACATAGTTCAAAATACATTCATCCACTAAACGGCTTCCAGGTACCTGTATGCTTGTATAAAGTCTTTGAAAAAGCTGCAGCAGGTGGAAAAGTGATGTAGCTACAGTTATCTCATTATTTTGCTTTAGTTTATTTATCCAGTCTCAAATAAAATAATGTCCAACTCAACTTTCACATACTTTTTGGGTTATGCTTTAATTCTATGACATACATGTTTTTATGCCTCGTATACAATTGTTTCAGTAATTGTAAAAAATTACGTAATGGCGGCATATCTTCCTACAACAGTTGATAAATAATGAATTAACATGCACTACATTTATGATTATATCCACCCCATTACTTGTAAAGTGAGGGGTTGGATTTGAATGTTTATAACACTATTATTACCATATATAATTATAACTAAAATTCATACCATGGTTCTACAGTTACGATGACCAGAATATTTCATTATCATCCGCGGCTGGGGAACCTCCACCATTTTTGCCATTTCTCTTGCTTCCCGTTTTTTCCTATAGACAGACTGGATCTTTTGAGCCGCCACACTCAATCTTTCTTTTTCTAATTTTAATCTTGGAAAAAAAAAAAAAAAAAAATTTCTTAATAAAGTAAGAAGCTTTTCTCATGCAATCAAGCATTTTCTCCATTTTTTTGCCTCTTTAAGTTTCAAGTGTGTTATAAAATATTTATCCATTATCTCAACTCAAGGCAACAAGGAATATTTTAAATTTTAATTTAGAAAAAGCCAGTTACTCTTGATCCTGTATTGGATTCCTTTAGCAAAAAAAGGATTTTAATTTATTATCAACTCTAAAACTCTTAGAGCAACAGATGCCAAATTTAAGAGTGAAACCCATTGCAACAAAGAATTTTTAAATACAAAAATTCATTGTCAATGTTGAGCTTAAGATCAATGGTTAAGAACATCAGGCCATACTGAATTGGAGGAGATTTTAGTTTTTTAAAAAAGAAAACTTTATGCAGGACCTGTAGATGGGCAAGCGTACCAACGAGAAAACATTTTAAGTTCTTAACTAATCAAAGCACTTGGCAGTTGTGATTACAACCTCATGAGAAACAAAATGTAGTTTCAATTCACTTAATCATAAAAAAAAATGCATTTCAAGGCTTGATAAGGACCAAAAAAATGATTTTGTCACTGATGAACATGGGACAATCTAAACAATTTTTTTTTATACCTTACCTCAGAAGCAAAAATTAAATTTAAGTGATGCAAAATATAATATTTTATTCAGCTAGTCACTGTATCTTTTTTTTTTCTTGAAAAGTATTCTTACTTTCTTCTTGTGTGCATGTGGCTCTCATCATCACCCTCATCCTGATCATCATCTTCATCCATATCATCGTCACTGTGCAGTTGAAAGTTACCTGTTGGTGGTAAACTGTAACCTACACGCCTGCGCTGCTCAAAACCTAATGATGGATACAAATTAGATTACTTTGCCTCTATCCTCATGAAGATAAATAAATTGTTATTTGGGTGTGTCCCCTGTGCATGGATGCAGTCATTTAAAAATGTATACTGCGCAATTTGCTTTGTGCCATATCTGCAAAAATGGATCCCTAAAGATTTTCATATGATTTGTTGTCACTGTATCTCATCTTGTTATTTATTTGTGTTTTTCTGCTGACTTATTCTATGTACCCCTTAGTGAGTAAACCTGCTTCATAACACAATTGGGAAGGCTTTGGAGTGAAGAGATCATTCTTGTTTAGCTGGTTGCATCTTCTTGACTTGCAAGGCCTAAGAGCATTCTCAATACTTTTTTTTTTAAATTTTAGAATTCCATGGACTGGTCTTAACTTTCATATAAACTAATAATAGGTTGTTCACAGACAATATAGTAACATTCTTTCTGTAAAAAAATTATGAATAATTTCAAATTTGATACCTTGAGAGGATGACTTCAATCCTGGCAGACGGTAAAGTGCTTTTGGTGGCCGTTCCTGATCTTCTTCATCTGCTGGTGAATCATGGATGACACGTTCAGGCTGTCTTGAGATAGCTGTGCCTGTTGAATCTTGGATGACATACTGACTAGGGAAAGTTTCTGAGCTGTGCCCACGTGTATAAACTGTGGCGATAGATGGTATACTTGACGTTGAGGGCACTTCAAATGATGTTTCCAAAAGAGGAAAACTAGGAGCAGAGGTTTCCGTTCCTTCAGTTGAAATCATCATTTTACCACTGTTGTATGGAGCAAATTTGTCAGCTTTAGCACCAGATTTTTTGGCCTTTAGATTAGATTTACCTTTGCCTTGTATTTCTTTGATGACAATACCTGTGGCAGATGGAGATTCAGGTTTATCCATATCAGATTTACCAAATTCAAGGGTGGCATTCTCTGGTTCAGTCTTTAACAAGATTGCTGTCTGTGACCCATCTTGATTTAAAATATTTTCTGATGTCATGCTGGGTAAATGTTGGTGGTCTTTACTGGAGAACTTAGGTAAGTTTTCAATAGTCCTGCCATGGCATTGTTTACACAGTGACAATTTTAAACTTGAACGGTTCAGTTCTTCACCAACTCTCTTCAACTTTACGCCACAAACTGAACAAATGCCCGGGTCTTCGTCATCAGCTTCCATTTCCACAGTTTCAATTTTCTGACTGTTGTGTGGGACAGGTGAAGCTTTAGGACAGTTTTCACCATTGTTTGTATCAGTTGAACATGATGCGGCTGTCTGGCCCCAGGAGTCATTAGACAGATGCACATTGTGTGGGGTTGACTTAGAAACTGATCGATGAGTCTTGCGATTTGAAAGAAATGCCGACTGACTCAGAGCACCGACCTGCTCCAGTAAAGCTGTGGTATGGTAAGTGGATGATTTACTGTTGAAATCTGCAGTGTTGATAGAGGACGGAGTGAGCTCAGATATAGAATGGATGTTACTCACAGGTGTAGATGACAAACTCAGTACATCATTGAGGGTCTCATTTCCTTCAAAACCACTGATAGCCCCCTCAGCAATGGCAAAAGGGCTGTCTGAATAAGAAGGGGAAGAAACTGTAGATGACTCTGAAGATTTTGTGAGTGGAGACATTTGATCTGTTGTCCAAGTGAAAACCGGTTGGACTGTCCAGCTTGGATACTCTTTTTGAATTTTCTTACTGTCATGAACAAGATCCAACTGACCAAGCACAAGTTCTGAGGCAGATGACACTTGATATTGAAGCAGGGATTCTACAGGAGGTGCAATAGGATTAGCTGAATCGAGCAGTGAGAGAGAGGAGCCGGGGGTGAGGGTGACTGAGGAGGAAGAAGGGGCTGGAGTGCATGGGGTCAAGTGCTTACGGGTGGCAGACGATTGCGACATTAAGGGGTTATTAGGTCGAGGAGTGGACGGTGAATTGAAAGGTTGGGGTGGAGGAGAGTTACGTGAAATGGTTGATGAACGAGTAGGATGGATTACCACTGAAGAGCTTGACGAAGTTGTTTCTGTTGAGAAATGGAAATCTTCTGCAAAACTTTGTGGGCTCCAGTTTTGGGCTTGCGCAATGTAAAGATTGACTGACATCTGATCAGAAATAGAATCATTACTCTCAGAACTAGAGTCAATGTTCACAAAAGTTTTTACTGGGCCACTGAAGGCACACAATGATGTGGATGCTCCCTCCATGTGCGCATCATTTTTCCCTGTGTCGGCCGAGCCCCTGTGTGTGATCATGTCTCTCTCTGAGACAACTTTTTCATCGGCAACCTCTACTTTTTTAGAGCTTTTTCTCTTTGTCTCTTGGTCTGTGCAAGATTTCTCTGCAACACATTTGGGATCTTCCCAAGAATTGATTTCAATTGCAACTTGGCAACCAGTGGAATCTAAGCCTGATGTCAAACAATTATCCAAATTCTTTTCTGGTACATCATGCAATGAATTACTGTCTGACATTGTATTTTGTTGGGTTTTACTGGCATCATACTGGCTAGTTGTTGGTCTGTCGGGGTTATTCACATCAAAACTTTCACGCTCTGGATACAAGCATTCAGAAGATACCACACCCTCGCTGGATATTGAAAACTGAGCCGAGGGTGTGTTTTCATGCCGTTCATTAACTGGTTTGTCTTTGTCAGAAATAACCGTCGTTTCTTGGGCGACAGCAAAATCTGGGACTTCAAGGTCATCCTCCACTAATGCTAGACAAAAAAAAACTAAAAAGATTAACACCTTGCAAGTATATTTTATCAAATTTTTGAACTGTTAATGTGATAGTATGAATGACCGACGATTATTGTTGTGTGCATTGAGTGAAGTTTGTGACCTGATTGGCCTGTGTCGTTGTCATGTTGTATGATTGGACATGCTGAGTTGTTTTCATGAATGTTTAAACTTAAATGTGTGAATATTGGTTAGAGAAATGGAGTGAGTGATGTATAAAAAGAATGTAGAATGAGGAATACAGATAGGTTGTTACACAGACGAGTTGGGATCATATTTTACTATTATAGTTAACAAGTTTGTGATGAGCTTGAACAAATTAACCTTAAGGTTACAAATACTTTTTTAACCCCAAGTAAACATGCTTGTTTGCAACAATGATTTTGTGCTACACAGTATATGGTAGTTTAGTTGGCAGCCGTGTTTAAAAAACGGCACAGAATGTCTGAAAAACTGGTTTTAGTACCATCACTGTTTGCGTTTTGCAGTAAATAACACAAAGAAGTGTAGATGATTTTCAATGCAGCATCCAGTTGACCTAGAGATTTCTGCCAACAATTTTAACAATGGAGATAGGAGTGTATCTATAAATGGAGATTTAAAAAAACAAACTATTTTCCTCATGTCGAGTGCTAAAATTAGTGCGTGTCACTTTTTTTGATAAACTGCTGCATGATGGAGCTTAAGAATATTGTAGAGTTCAATACTTCAAAATGTATTTACATGTTATTTTAAAAAACAGAAAATATCTTTTGAAACCACATCTTACTAACATTTGTCCATATTATAAGTTATTAAAAGGGGCCTCCCCTTTTTGCACAAAATGGCCAGCTCTTTGTGGACACCACTAAGTACATAATTAAATGATATTTAGCAAAGACTTTTCCAGGTTTTCTTACAGACATCTGTGGCCGCTTCTGGATCTTCTCCCTGGGCGTCCTCTTGACTTTCAGTTCTATCACTGCGACTATTCAACATGCGGGTAAGAAGATCTGACATACGCTGCATAATAGTATTTGTCAGAGCTGGCGAAGCAAACATATGAAGCAGTTTAACAAATGACAAGGAAGGAAGCATAAAAATATTTTATATGTGTGTGTGTGGCCAAATTGAAATAGATAAATAAATAAATAAATAAAGTAAAAAATAAAAGTACTTGAAACCAGCACCACCATTTCTTTTCTGGTTTAAATAGTAAGTGAAATATAATATGGCATGACGTAACAAGGTCTCAAAGTTTTAAACTCTATATTCCATTAACTAGAATAAAAATGTGCACACAATATTTCATCTAAATTATCAATATTAGCTTTAATTTGAACAAAATTTTCATATAAGTGATTTCCAAGTATTCATTTATTTTGCAGCCAAAATTATTTCACAAATAAAAATTCCATTTTTACCTGGTTCTTCACTCTCAGGGCGAGCATCAGGTCCTGTGTCCGACCAATCCCCTCTTAGCCGTAGACGTTTAATTGGCTTGAAAGCACTTTCATTGTCTGACCCATTATCGGTTGAAGCCTGTGCAACGCTGGCCTTTTCTGGACCAACTCCATCTGCTATGTCCTGGCTGGGGCCAGCCACAGGTTGGCTGGATGATGCACTAAAGCCAACCTTACATCACAAATAAATGCACAATAAGTGGTAAATGGATCAAACATTTATGCTTAAATGAAGTATTTCTATCTAAAAAATTTGAAATAGTGCTCTCAAATAAATAACTGACAGCAGGCACATCTGGAAAGACATAGTTAAGTTACTCTAAACACTGATTCATCATGATTTTCTTGTGATTAGATTTGAAGCTAAAATGACTTTCATTTATAGGGTCTTAGATTAGAATCTAATCAAATTTCATTTATACAGTCTTAGATTAGAACATAAATTAACTTTCATTTATAGATGTTTCTCTCCTTACCCCAGCTGTGTAGCATTGTTGTTTGTTGATTTCGTATGTGTTAAAGAGGTAAATGTTTTCTGAAGAATAATTAACGAGAACATCATGGGACCCTTGTCTATAGTTAAGGGAAGTGATTCTGTAGTGTCTTTTCTCACTATTAGTCATTGGTGGTGGGAATTTACCTATCAAACTGTCACTGCTGCCTGAAATAAACAAGCGGATACAACTTTGTACGTTTGATAGATGGCTACTTGAGCGTAATCAATATGCAATAGACTTGTTTTACTGTACACTTGTAGTAAAATTATGACAAATCAGCTTAAATCATGCTAAAATGAATAAATTTAGCCATAAAGAAAGACCTAAATTGAGTGAATTACAGCATTGGCAAGTAATTAACTAATGTGTAAAGGCACTGAAATATTATTTGTATTAAGTTTTCATACAGACCGCCTAATTTACCCCTTAAAGATTTTTTTTCGTTGGCAAATTGAACCCCAGCGTAAAATAACTTTAACACAGATTCTATAAAAAATAAGTACATATTTACTCGAATAGACTTTAAGAAATTTTAAATGCAAACTTTAAAGTGATTTAGTCATAAAGCAGCACCTCCTGTCTCCCTGGTCTTCAGCATTCTTCTGTCGTACAGTCTAACAATACCATCTGATGACGCAACAGCTAGATGAAAGGGTATAATTGGATCTACGGCCATAGCAGTCACTGCATTGCTCAAATGTATCACAACATCCTGTAAAAAGAGAAACTAATTATTTATTAACAATGGATTGTGATAAAGCTTAAGACCATTAATATATCACAAAAAATTTGTGTAACACAGCAAAGTTAAACTTTAATTGAAGGACAAAATAGAAATTTAAGATTTTTCCGCTATGCCTTCATGAGTAGAGTAAAAAAAACGTGCATAAATTAAAATTAAAGTTTACAAAATAATTAGACCATATATTCTACCAACTAAGAAAGTAAAAGGAAAGAAAGGAAATAATGTGGCCCATAGTTTATCACAAAAATGGAAAAGAGAAGAAAAGACAGGAAATGGGTGGCAATACAGAACAATACTAAACAGGAAACAATATTGCAGCAATGTAAAATTGTAAATAAATTTTTTGTGCCAAATTTCAAACAGAAATAATTTAAAAAATTAATTAACAATTACTAACTCCATGGAAGAAAAACTTTTAAAAAAAATTAATTAATACCTACCTCTTCACAGTTGAACTTTGAGCAACTTGTTTTGGTTCGCAAGTCAAAGAATCTCACGGTTCCATCATCGCCACAGGATAAAAAAGTGGCTGCTTCATTTGGAACAACCAGAAGCTAAAAAAATATTCCTTAATGATTAATGCATTCTTGAAAAAAAATATTTTGAAGTAAGTTCAACTGTCATTAAACATGTAGATTATCGAGATGAGTACCTGTATAAAATAATTTTAGCCTGCTATAGTAAAGTAATTGTCTTACACAAAGTCATAATGCAATTAGGAAATTTTTCATATCATTCAAAATAAATTATTATACAATATGAAATAGACCTTTAAATTATGCGTCAAATCTATTTTTATTTAGACTAATTCTAAGTAGTATGCAATCTTCTTTAAGTGGTGGCATAGGAAAGGAGCCAGAAGAGTCCGCCCCAGAGCTGCACTTTTTTCTTCTTTATATTAACATAATATTTTGATTATTTACCTTGTACGTTGTTCCAAAATGGCAGTCAAATCTGTTACTTCCATAAGTATCTTCTCTGTCCACATCTGTGTAAAAAATTTCCCCTGAGCCTGAGCAGCTGACCACCTGTAAAGTCATAATGATAATTATTTTGTATTGTTTACCTGTTCCTGTTCAATAAAGCAGACATTTTTTAAATGCTCTATGCCAGGGGTACTAAACCTGGCCTGCTTGGCTGCCACACAGGTATGTGGGCAGCTGTGACAAATATAGAACTGGACATTGATCATCTCATTAGCCAAAAGCATGCCCATACTTTGCAATTAAATACTAATAAGTTAATGTTGATTAAAATTGTTCTTTATTTTAAATATGGTGAAGTTTCTTCCTGTTTGTTTCACTACACATACGTTATGTGCAGTGTGTACAGTCTTTGCCTGTTTAAAAATGTATTGGACCCCGTTCTATGACATAATCACTAGTTATTCTAATTCATGAATTCTGCATTATAACTTAAAAATAAATGTTCAAAAATGTATTTTTTGAAAGTAATAAAATTTGTATTTTCAGGCGTAGAGTGTCTTTTTTCTGACTCATGATCTTTAATTGAATACTATGTTATATTTAATTCATGGCTTAAGAATTAAGCCAGCTGGCCAGACAGTATATAAATAATTCAACAGCCATGTCAATTTATTTTAATTTAAAACACATCATAATTTTGCTTTTAATTTAACAACTTTGTAAATTCTAGGAAGTTTAGTAAATAGAATAGCAATCAATCAAATTTAATGACTAGAACCAGGCAGATTTATAAATAGATTGAAATTCTTACCTCTCTGTCCATACTTCCAGGTAAAAATTTAGCACTAAAAATATTTGATCTGTGCCCTGATCTGAATTTGACAACATTCTGGGAAAAAATCGAAACACAAATGGTTGAAACAAATTATATAGATGAACTGTAAATTTTGAAATCTGAATTAAAAGAAAATAATACTAGTTTTACCTTACCTTTCCGGTAAATGGATCAGTGATTGCAAGGTGTTGGTCATCAGAACCTGACAGTATGAGAGTGCCATTTTCATTCCAACATATTGTATTCACCTGAAAGTATGAAAACAACTTATTTTATGTATTTGGATCCATTTTATATGAGAATTTCTAAAATGAAAATGAAAGCAAACAATTGTGCTGTTATGCACACTCATGTAACTTCCTAAGGGACTGAATGGCAAGTTTATAAATGTTTTGGGGTGTGTGAAATATTCAAACTATTTTATTTCATAACATTGAAACGTTGATTAACTTAATCAAAATAATTTTAACTTATTTTTTAAAATACGATTACAAACAAGGAAGTAATTGAAACAAAGAATAGGAAAACCTGAAAAAAGGATGCAACAAAACAACAGCTCCCATACTTTGTTTCACTTTTTCCTTCTACCTAACCTGATTGCAGTCACTCCACCTTAATATCAATTACAAACAAGCCACTTTTAATATTGAAAAATCTAACAATAAGAAATAATTTAATACATAAACTAGAAATAAGCCCCAATTCATTCAATTTACTTATTTTCTAAATCATCTTAGATAAAAATATATTATATAATATAGTATTAAAATATCACATTGGCTTGCTTACACTTTGGTAAAAGAATTCTATAATTTTTAAAATTCACGACAATTTTATTGTTAATATTAAGTAAAAAGTGTCTCAAAAGGACTCATAGTAACTTACACATCCATCATGTACGCATAACTTTTTGTCCAATTTCAGTCTCTGAAGAAAATATTGACTGGCTGAAATGAGTAGCAATAAAAGATAAGTTGAAGTATATGTATTCTGGGTAAATTCAGTGGCCCAGATAGCTTTTTATTTATTTCTGTAACCATCAATCATTGTTCAGAGTGAGATACGCTGGTTCTCACTTGTTGAGACCCGCTGGCTCACACTCTTTCTCCATTTCTACCCCCTCTTGAAATAGTACATTTAGGACTGGTACTAACAATGGCAGGGCAATAACCTTGACCAAAGGTGAACCAAAGGCCAGTTTGGGGAAGCGTCCCTAGCCTACCCATAAAGTGCAGGGCCCTGACAGTATACATTCTCTTTTACTGTAATTTGTACAAAAAGGCGGGCTAGCAATATTTTGTGCCCAACTTTAATCATCCCTAATTAGCTAGGTGTGTTCTCTCTCATTTGTTAAATGTGTTAACTAAATAAGTATATATAAAATTATTCCATGTGGAAAAAGTGTTAATTAGCTCTATAATTCATTATGTGTTAGTAATGTGGTTCTGAGGTTTTATAAATGTTTTACATTTGTTATTTCTAGTCAGTGTAGTGTAGTTTGTTGATTTAGTATAGTCCAGTCAAGTTAATTCCCCTGCAATTTAGTTCAGTGAGTTTTACATGATAATAACTCTGACATTTTAGAAGACAGTATAAATTAATCTTAAGGGAGATAACCTTGGACTCACTCAAGAAACTAAGTACATTGTTTCATGCAGGTAGACTGGGTATAAGTACAAGTACTGCAAGACTATCAGTATCAGGATGAGAGTGAAGAATAGAGTAATGCTGTGTGTGATATGGGACCACAGGAACATGAGTCGGGAACACATAACTAACTGGACCTGAACATGTAGTAAATTAGTAAACAACAATACCAACCAGTCTTAATATAAAATAATTAGTTATAGTTACTAGACAGAAGTGTTATTTCTATTTTTATATTATGTAATTTGTTATTAAATATAAATATTCATGGGCTGGACCAAATGTGTTATATAATCATTAGAGATTAATTATTCATGGAAATTAACATAAGCACATGTGTGTGAGAAAGTGACATTGTAAGTAGGTGTGAGTGGGGTGGTACTTGATCTTTAAGATGATCTATCCTCCCAGTTGGTATAGTGAATATTCAGGGATAGACCTGTATACACAAGGAAACAATATGCGACTCATTTAGATTTAGACAATACATGCCATGATCTGTGTCTGTGTAGGGTTATCTCCCTTTTGACGTTTGTTTATTCTTGTGTTTTGTGTAGTGAATTTTCAGGGATAGACCTGTATACACAAGGAAACAATATGCAACTAATTTAGACAATACATGTCATGATTTGTGTCTGTGTAGGATTCTCTCCCTTTTACCGTTTGTTTATTCTTGTGTTTTTGCTAGAGTTAACTTTTCTTTAATACAGCAATGGAAGGTTTTAAATTAAAATTTCATTGGTTGGCTAATTACAATTATTAATTTTACAATGTTATAGGCGTCTCGTTTGCTTTCATTCATCTTTCCTAGTGAATGAACTTAAGCTGACCCCAAGTTCGGTGCCGTTAATAGTAGGGGTGTGCCGGATCCCGGTCCGGAATCCGGTTCCGCCGGATTTTGCACTATCCGGTGAAATCCGGTTCCGCCGGATTTACATGTATCCGGAACAACCGGATTCCGGAATATACCGGATTTCGGAATTTGCCAGATTTTGTGACTCACCGGATCATAATCTGAAATAAAAGTAATTCTCTTTCCCGAATTCCACACGATCACGATACATTAATTGATTGTTTCGAGCGTTGAGCTTGTTTAATGTTTAATATTCCGTACATACCAGAGGCTAGAGTCAGCACCGCTAATAGTGGCCAATAGTGTAGGGACTTTGATAAGAAAATTTAAACTTTTTGTAAAAATAAACCAATGGCATAGTTGAAAAGATGTAATTTTTTAAAGAATTATAACACCAAAATCATATTTTTAGCTGTTGTAGTTTTAAAGTTATGAATTTTTAAAGTACGACTTGGTTTGTCATTTTTTAACATGGACTGCATCTCCACATTCTGTGATCTCATTCCGCCAATCCCGTCATGCGCAATGACTATATAGTTTATATAAGGCAACGCATTCCCTGCCTTATCACTAAAATACTGTTTAGACTTAGTTTAAACTTTCAACTTTGGCACATGAATAATTAATTAAAGCTTTCCCTGACCAATGGTTTAATAGTTTTTGCACACGGCAAACTCTTATGAATGAAACTCTGAGGTAGTACTACGATACAGTTATGCAAGTGGCTGTGAATGGTTGCCAATGACAACGTGTTGCACACGGTAAATTCTGATCATTTATAATATGGATTCTACCGGGTTGTTAAAGCTCAAATTAAAACATTCCAGTTTAAATGTCTTTAAATGCATTCTGAAACACAAGTTATCAATTATTTTGATGTAAATAGTGATAATATATTAATATTTCCTAAGTATCGTCAACTTCCGCCATTAAAAAGGGGGGCGTGGCCAACCCCATGGCGAAATTAGGTTGAGCGAGCTGCATGACCAGCTGCGAACGCGTAGAAACATGGCGTCTCTCGTAAGATACTTATCCAAATGGAACGGAACTCAAATATATATCGAAAGTACTAATTTAATAATAAATAGACACACACATCGGAAAATTAAAAACTCGGATTTTTTGGCGCCGGTTGCGAATTCCCATACACAAAAAGTAGTAGTCTACCTTGACTTACCGAAGTATCTACCAATAGTACCAAAATCCGGAATCCGGGAGAAACCGGAATCCGGATTATTCCGGAATCCGGATCCGGCGGATTTCGCATAAGAAAATCCGGATCCGGATCCGGTTGGGAAAAACGGATCCGGCACACCCCTAGTTAATAGGGCAATAATATCCTGATCTTGGTTACAACTAACTGAAATATATGGTTTGTATTAGAATTCTGTAGAAATATTGAGAAAGGAATACAATGCTTAAGTCTGTTCGAGAAGTATCTATGAAACAGGCTATATAAACGCCTAGAGAGATTGAGCGGGATCAGACGAGGGATATTTTGAGTGTGGGCTATTTTTGCTATAGAGCTTTGCTATGAGACAGAGATTTGTTTACTGTGAGTGTGTAGATTCCTTTTCATCACTGTACCTTTTTAAAACATTGTATCTTCTTCAACATTGTACCAAATATAAGCCAAATAAAGTGTATTGTATGACTGTTAGATTTTCATTATTTAAAAATTATTGTATGTTGTTTTTCTTCATTTTTACAGTTTTCTTGGTAAAAGTGCAGTTCAGGTGCATTATATTTATTTCTTAACACATTTCAAATTTTCGCATGTGAACGTATTTAAATTAACTCCAGGCAGTCATAGTTAACTCTAATAATAAATTGTACAAGTCTAGTGATAAGTTATATCTAATATATTGCATCCTTCTGTCTTCACGAGATGATGGAGTAACAATGTAGTCCTACACTTTCACGAGTGGCTCACTAGGCCAATCCTAGAATGACAATCTTAACTGCATTTCTCGCAGGAGAATATTGATTCCTGGTAGGATCTTGACTTTCGTATTGTTCTTTTTGTTGCAAGGGCCTCGTTTTGCGTATCTTATGCCTTTTTTACTTCATCATACACTGCTGTTCGCCAGCTGGAATGTTGTTCGGCAATGAGTTCCCAATCGTTTTCAATATTATCTAATACAATACTAATAATTATGGTTATAGTTGATTTAGATTTTATTTTGGATGATCCTGAACACTCACTTCAGTCAGTGCACTGCACTACTGACTACTGCACTACTGTTCACTCAAATTAGTAGTTAGATTAGAGTGATTTCAGTGATTATGAGTATGAGTTAGAGCTTAGGGCATTAGATTAGGCCTCATAGTAGTCATAGGCCCATTACTAAACTTATTATTAATTATATTAATATTAGGTTCTTCGGCTGATATTAAGGAGGGTTGCCACAGCGTCTTTTGTGTGTTTATTATAGTATAGTTGCAGTGAATTAGGGTTTAGGTTAGGTTGAGGGATCGATTTAGTTTAGGGTTCAGGTTACGCGCCGCATAGGGATCGATTTAGGGTTAGGGATAGATGATAGGCTGATAGGCGATAAGGATCGATCGGGGATCGATTTAGGGATACATTCGTGAAATTCGATCAAAATGTGGCATTTGTCCTTAAAATTTACCGGTTCTTCATCTAATAAATAAGCTTAAGTAAGCTTACTTCTTTCGATTTTTACATTTAAATTACTACACTATTCCTAGTCCTTAAAATTTTAGATTTTAGGCCTCACTACAAATGTACGGGACTACGCCACTACGCGGTCATCAATTTACCTGTTGCTGCATTATAGAAACCTCTAGCACTCTTTCCATAGTGTTCCCTATCTTTAAGTAAACTGAACATTTTAAGCATTCGTATTTTCCTGCATTCTTAGATAAAAACAATATCCTGTTTATAGATAAAATCAGCCTTGAGTGAGCCTGAAAAAATTAATTAGAAATCACAGCCATTTTTTTAATTTAAGGGAGATAATTCTTAAAATTATTAATGAAAAAGCTAGAGTTAATTCTATTTGTTTTCCTTTACTGATTTTCTTTGGTTGACTTCACTTTCACTTTCGCATTCTATTTTTGTATTTTGAAGATAATATATATTACATGTATTTTTTTTTAAACTATTAAATTAGGGTGAAAATTACGACGAATAATATGAATACTTAAATTAATTTTATTGCATATTAAGATGATATTTATGCCTATAATTTTTTTAACGTAAAAAAATTAATAATTATAATTAATAATTAATAGTATTAGTTAGAGTTAGTGTGAGTAATATAAACCTTACCAATACTAATAAACTTGATTCATGGATCATAAATAAAGTTTAATTTTGATCATATGTCCTATTTATGGTAGGCCTACACCCATTTGATGATTTGGCTGATTTGGAATTTGGGTGGATAAACCTCTTGTTTATTTAGGTCTACTTTAATTTCAATAGTAAAATAGGCTACTACAATGAATTTTAAAATAAAATGCTTTATCGCTATCTCATTAAAAGAACCCTTTTAATTTAGGCTTTTCCCAAAAAACCAATTCTAAAAATATTAAAACTTGAATGAACTACTTTGTAAAACATTACCCCATAAATACCATAATTATAATTAATTTTTATGATCTAAGGAGAAAAAAATGTCCATTAGTGCCATTAGGTCTATAAATGTTCTTTCGCAAGTTCGTTTATTTAATAAAATGAATATGTTAATAACTGTCAAGGACAGCGTCATTATTTAAGGAGAGTATTCTTTATTCGATTTCAAATATTTATATTTAGGCCTTTAAAGGATTTTCAGGGTCGCTTGCTAAAATAATTATCTGGCAAAGTTATCTTAACCTGTGGTAACCAATAAACTTCCGGGACATCTTATGTGTGGGGTTTTTTTTTTTTAAAGAAATGTACCGAAATGTAAACATCAGACAACTCATACTCATACTGTGTAAAGTGTGTTCAAGTGTTCACGATCTACCATAGGTTATTACAAAAAAAAATAAAAAAATAGGGCATCCTTTTTCTAAGGGCAATAATATCCTGAATTGGTCATGGCAACAAGCTTGAAAGTGTTGACCTTAAACTGTTGGTAAGTATGTAAGTATGCATACTTATTAATTATTCATAATATAATTATAAATATCAACACTTGACTCAAGTCTTGACCTACACTTGTGACTTACAACTTACAGTAACAGAAAATAGGATATGCAATCCACTGACGTGGATAGAAACAATTCTATTTGTAACAGTATAATGAGTATATGAATATACGGGTAAAAGTGCAGTTCAGGTGCAAATATTATTTCTTAACGCATTTCGTATTTTAAAAAAAATTTTATCATGTAAACTTACGTGTATTCTTTAATAATTAAATACAGGCAGTTATAGTTAACTAATTCTGAATTATAAATCGCAACTTTTCTTTTTATTTTACTTCTAAAGAGTCTTTAAACATCCCCCAACCAAAGTGACACAGCCCCATTTGTTTGTATTTTTCTTTTCACCCTATGCCAGATTTTTAGCCACCTATAACTTAGTATGCTAAACGAAATTTTCAAACTGTAGGCATGTTCACAAAACAGAATGAAATACTAGATTTTTCATTACCACAAGCCCCCCTCCCTCCCCCCCCCACCCCTTCCCTTCCCCCCAACTTTCTTTTTTTTTTCCTCTCAGAGCGCTCGGAATATAGGGGTTGTCCTTTGAAGTCGGGGTGTGGGGGGGAGGATCACTGACTAAGGCAGTGGACACACGTCATCATTGTCCTGGACCTGGTGTGAAGCTGAAAAAAGAAAGGGGGGGGGGGGTACACGAATACGTGCCAATGTGTGATCTAGTGTCCACTTTAAAAAAAAAAATATTTGTGACGCAGAAATGGGAGAAATCGGAATGATAGCGTGGGGTCATTTTGATAGTCATCTCATCCTGAAAGCTGCTAATACGCTGCCCGTGATTGGTGAGCTCTAATTTGAGCACCCCTCCTCTTTTTTCGTTTGCAAATGCACTTATTAGTGGTGAATGATTTGCGCTGAGTAAAGTGAGGGCTAGTGATTATTTTTTTATATTATAAGACGGACTTGTTTTGACTTTGCGGTATTGCTGGTTGTAGGATAATTTTGTTTAAAATGGCAGGGCGACCAAGAAACAATAACTAAAATTGTTGATGCAACGGGCATTTTTAATGGTGCAGCATTTGGTTTATGCGTGCACCTTGTGGGGCAACAAATAACGTTAATACAACTGGAATTTCTCCTAAGGCGCTCGTAACAATTGCAATGTGGCTTGTAAGCTGGGTTCGTATGTCAAGTATGTGATCTGCATATCACCCGAAACGGGATTCACCCGAAACGGGATCTCACCGTAACCGGTATCCCACCGGGCTCAGTAACGCACTGGATTGGGATCCCACCGGGATCAGGATCTCACTTTGATCAGAATCCTTTCGGGATCGGAATCTCACCGAAATGGGATCCCACCGGAATCGGGATCCCACCAGATTGGGATCTCATTTAGTTTGGGATACCACCGGAAACGGATCTCATCGGGATCGGTATCTTACCTGGATCGGGATCCCACCATGACCAGGATTCTATCGGAATCACATCGGGTTCGGGATCCCATCATGATCCTTCCAGGTGCCATCGGAAAACGGGAAAAACGGAAAGTTTACATAAGTTATTTTAAGTGTTTTTATAGGAGACAAATTAATTATTATTATTTTTTTTACTATCGTGTTGTTGTTTTGTTGTTGACATTTCCTTTAATAGCAATGTGAACTAAAAGGACGTAGCAGATGTTTTTTTCTGAATGCAGCCCCGGGCAACTCCGGTTATAGTTGATAGTAAAGTTATAAAATAAATGTATCATAACTAGATTCATCCAATTGGGCAACTTTTATAAAGTATCTTTAAAGACAGAAGAGTTTTCCTTGATTTACCACAACGGCTCCGTAAAATACGAAAGAATCATAAAATGTACTTTTTTTATCTTGTAAAATTTGTTAAATTGTTGTTGTAATCAAATAAAAAGATGGTATTTTACTTTTAAAATACTTTTTATAAAGAATGTACATAAGTTTACACGGGAAAATAAGGGATTCAAACAGAAATAATATACGCTCCTGAACTGCACTTTTACCGAATATATGATGTCTATCTATACAGTTACAAACTTATCTAGGGTTACCAGACGTCTGTGTTTAATACGGACAGTTTGTATATTTGACCCCCTTATCCGTACTAATTTTTGGTCCGTGTTTATCCGTACTTTCCTTTCGTCATCCCCATACTTTTGGCAGCGAAGACTTGCTTGTCTTATTTCCATTTGCTTTTTCTTCTTTCTCTGCAAAGAGCAGTGAATAGTTTCAGCTCCATCAGACAGTCCAAAAATAGCATATTAATATCGTCAATGCTGTACAAATATCATATATAAATGTTGTGGAGGAATTATTGTCATACCGTTGCCATTTCTTTTCACATATGAACTAGCTAGATGTCGCTTCAGTAATACTCAGTAGTAGCAGTATTACAGTAATATTTTGTCCACCGTATCTTCAATGTGCTAATTCAGTTGTTCCTATCATGTTTCGATTCCCAGCGCTTATGCCCACTTTAGGTTTTCACCATTCTTTGCTGCCTTTACTATACTACCTTTAAGTAAATTACTATTTTTATTTTATTCTGTTTTTACTGTTGTATATTGGCTGAGGAGGAAATGCTGCACCTGGGGGTGAAGCCAGAAAATGGTGCCACTTAATAAATAGAAAATATGCTCCCAGGGGAGATGAATAAAAGAGATAATTTTTGGCCCCCCTCGTCTTTCTGAAGAAGCCTGTATGGGATTTGATATTTTTAATTCACTATTAAGATCCTATCTAAATAATATTTTGGAACCCACTGTGACTGCCCTCTTTTCCCCATTCTCATGACTCTGTCCGAGGGCAACATGACACCCAGAGTGACGCTTATTATGGAGACCACTGGGCTGGCCAAACTTGTCGGCAGTATAATCCCGCGACATATTTTTTTTATTCAATTGACGTCACAATTATCTATTTTGGAAGTGTGTGGGGGGTTGTCAGAAAAAAAAAGAAGCCAAGCACAAACCCCCCCCCCACCACCACCTGTATGGTTCCGGTTGCTTTGAGCCTTTGTATCCATACTTGGCATCCAGAAAACCTGGTAAGCATACCTTATTAGTACTAAGTATTAAATAGGCCTACTGAATTAGCCAACCCATCTGTACTGTAGTGTAAGTTACAGTATTGGCCTAGGATAACACTACAACTTAGTACAACTACTGCTGCTATAGTACATCCTATACTATACTATTACTATCTCTATCATTAGTGATTAGTGACATTCAGTTTCATTTATGACTTTGAATGATTACTGTGACGGAACAGAGTTTGTCTAGGGTTTGGTCCCCAACACACTAGCCACAGAAAACACAACTTTCTGACTTCCATCTAGGGGCAATCAATATAGAATGTACACCAAAAAGTCTAATTGTAACCCCCCCCCCCCCCCCCCCCCTCCCCCCCTTTTTTTGCACGCATACTTTTTTGATGATCCCCATGCCCAGAAAAAACAACAACCTACAAAATACAGTAATCATTACATAATTTTAATATCAATGTTAACAAAGTGGGTCACCGGATTATCATCACTGGCTGTTCAGCAAGTTTAGTGGTTCCCAAAATATACGCTGCATCACCCTGGGTGCCACGTTACCCTTTGTCAGGGCCCTGAGAATAGGGGGAAGAGCAACAGGGGGTTCCAAAATTTTCTTTAGATAGGACCTTAATTCAATATACTTCACAAAGACAAAGGGCGTAAAAAATCATCATCATTTCTACATGGGTTGCTGCGACTTCTTCACAGGGTTGTTCCGAAATATTACACAATTTTCATAATTTTAATTGCTCTCTTAATGTGACATTTAGCGGTCGTTGTGCAATTAGTAACCCACTGTTTTCAGTTTCTAGATGGCGCTAAGTGACCTACATACATATTATATTTATTTTTACCCAACCCTTTTATTTTATTTTGTTTATGTATTCACTATTTTAAAGTGTACTTGTTAGAATTTTACACAGGGTGCCAGGTGAAAACATAACTTTGGCATACGTGCCAGGAATCTAACTTTTGGAACCACTGGCACAGCCCGACAAAATATACGCCACATGCACGTTGAACATATGATGCACATTGAACATACGGTGGACTAAATATTACTGTAATACATCTACTAAGTACTATCTGAGCGATATCTAGCGAGTCCATTAACGAAAACACATAGCAACATTATGACAATAATTCCCAAAAAGCATAGCATTATATGTGTAACATAAGGAAATTCAATGTTAATTTACAGTTGAGTAAAAGGCACTATTTTGTGTCAGAGTAGATCAAAATATAGATAAGGCAGAACTGGAAGAAAAGACATATTATAATGGATTTTAAGATGGCAGTTGGAAGGTTTGATCGAATGTTATTATTCTAAAAGAAGTGGATGTGTCGTGACTGTCCTTCAATTAATCACCATTCTATTATTCACCAATGTGAACTTTATTCTCTATTGTGTGATTGGTTAATAAATTAATAATATGTTGAGTTGGACTTCTGCTGATATATAGCGTGAGTGAGACACATAGTATCACGTAGGTTATCAAGCAAGGAGTGTAACAGTAATGGTCATATTTACATTTATGTCAGGAATGCAAGGTTGCCTGACGGTTTGAGTTAATTAAGGTAAAATCAGGACAGTTACCATTTGTTATATTGGTGGCATTTTAGATATAAATATGCTTTTTTGTACTGTCAGAATTTCTGGATAACTATTGTAGAATTGGCTTGCATATGTAAAATCTCCAAAGTCAACAAACCCCTTCTCCCCTGGTTGTATATATACTACTTGGATGGTCCCCTGTAAGGCTGATGTGCAGAAAATAAAAAAAGTTGCTGCACATGTTTTTGTTTTGGTCTGGATTCACATGCATTAGCATGACAAAAGAGGGTGTTAATGATCCCATAAGAGGCTATTAAAACTCCAAAACCGTCCTGTCCAACCCATGGCCTGTGGGCTTCATGTGGCCTGCCAACTGATTTTAAATGGTAATAAATGAAGGACTGTGTTCAAGCTGTGTTAAGAATATAGTTGAACAAGGTATGTGGAATCTTGAATTAAGAAACAGGACAATAAGACAAGAACATTTTGGCTAAGAGCCTTCATCAGTCATCAGCAGACAGGACAGATGTGATCTGGGGTACTAAAGGTGTCACAAATGACTACATTGAGTAGTATCAATTATTTATGGTACCATGTTATTTTAACAGGTAGTCTAGCCAGGTATGGAGAGTGTGTCTCCATCCTGTATTGTTGTGACTTGGGAGACAAGTACCTGATATCCAGAGCTCAGAGTGTGTGATGTTCAAGGTGCAGTGTTTTTAGATAGTGTATTTTAGTCAGGGATGAGTTGTGAGAGACATGAGGAATGCTTCTTGAAAGTATTAAAAAAAAAACAGACATAAGAATGCATGCAAGGAATTCTGTATGACATATTTTTCTTCTGATGAATTCCCAGTCAGTGGAAATGTAACAAAATATTGATGATGTTTTTTAAACCAGCTACATCAGTTAAGCTTGATTCACTGTCATGACCAACAAGTCCAAAAAGCCTACGCCTTGACTTGGGAAAATTTAGAAAATCTAATGTTGGCAGGCGCTACCGAAAACTATCTCAAAATAAGAAAATCGCAAATACAATTCAAATAAAAATATCTCATTAAAGAAGTGTTACAGTTTCTTTTCACTTAAACTTTATTTATGTTTATGATATACCGGTTATTATTCTTTCTTTTATGATCAGCTGATAATACTGACAGATGTATTTGATCCTTTTTGCATAAGTTAAGGAGTATTAATAACATGAATAATTGTCTAAAAGTTTTTTAAAAAAAATTGTTGCTCTTGAGATGTCATGTGCAATCCTAGGCTTTACGGATAAAAAAAAAATTTGGTCTACGCATTGAAAAAAAAGTTGTAAGCACTGCTCCAAATCCTTCACTCAAAGGAATATGTTCTATACAACATTCCAAAATCACTCTCTCTACTCTACAATTCTGCAATCTGAATAAGCTAGTAATTTTCAATCAGACATCTCTCTCTCTCAAATTTCTGTTTTATCTCTGTCTCACAAAAACATAAACACATGCTTTATAGTCAAGTGTTAAAGACCCCCATCTGGTGATCAATCAGACATAGCTGATTTCAGCTCATAATAACTGAATATATAAATACACTCTCTCGCATCCTAACAACAACATACAAATCGTGACATCATAAAACATCCCCACGTAATCTAACTGTGACAATTACACCTATGAGGCTCTATGACTACAGTCTAGTGACTGCAGGTTTCTGCAGAAGTTCAAATAAAACTTAAAGACACCAGATCACAGCCTTTTTCTCTTGACTCTTCCTTGCTGCAACTTTTCTTGTAGGCTCTGCTGAGTATTCTTCAGCGAAGTATAAGAAAAAATCAAACGCTTCTTTTTTAAAAGTATTGTGACATTATCATTGGATTTTACAGGGGTCTACCTTTTCCAGTCATTTGCAAAAATCGCCAGGAAAGAATTTGTGCAATAGGTGATTACATAAATGATAATGGCTTGGACATTGTTATACTGGAGGAGGTAAATGCACAATTTTAAAAGGGTTGGATACTAATTTGAATTAAGAATTTGAATATATTTACATACATTCTTTTTTAGCATAATTGTGTGAATAAATTTTGTTTGCATATTTCCAAAAATGAAAAAAATGCAAGAATTAAACTTTTTTGTTGAATTAAGTTTTCTGTAAAACTCATTGCTTTGACTAATTTAAGTTTGAGAAACATTTCATTTATTAATTTAAGGTCATCATTCATTTAATGGTATATAAATGAAAATATTTTTTTTTTATTTGCAACAGATTTGGGTTAAATCAGATTTTCAAAAGCTGAGACAGAAATTGCAACTGAGAATGCCATTTTCTCATTACTTTTACAGGTAATATGTTTATCACATTGAATGCTCCAAGTCACTCTGAAAATGAAACTGATCCCAGCAGAATGACCTGTTTAGAAATTGAAAAAATTATATTGGACAGTTTAATTTTCATCAAGTTGAATTTAAATAAAAAAAAACAGTAGAAATGTTGCAAATAACTTTTCAACACAAACGTCAGTCATTCTGTGATATCAACCAGCTTTCTATGAACCCCATTCTGAGTTTAGAAAAGTTGTACCATTGTTTAGGCATATGATTGTAAATCCTGACATATTGCGAAACAAATCATTTTCTAAAGCTATCTGTTCTTGCTTTGAAGGGAAGATTTTGCTCACTTCGTAGTGATCTTAGTAGTGATTAATTAGTGTTTGTGTAGGCAGTGGACTGTATGTTACCTGCAAATACAAGGCCCCTTTTTTAAACAAAAACACAAAAGTAATTTAGAAAATATATTTTATTTGCATAATTTTATATTCTAGTGCCCTTCAATTTAAGCTTAGGTTTGCACTAATTAGCGTATTGGCAGATTACTGATTATTGATTAATTGTGATCACATAATTGGCAGATGACAATTTGATGAAATCAATCCCATAAAAAACATCTAATTCTCTAAATAATAATTCTCTTATTTGTTATAAGCCAAAGCTTCATGCCATGGAAATTGTGTATGATATTAATTTTTAAAATGACAGGATAGCTGATGTTTAAGAAGATCAACATTCTACTGATTCTGCTTCTGCTTTTTGTCATCACACAATGAACAAAAAATGAACCAATCACAGACTTGATCGTATTTGATATTCAATAATGTTTTCAAAATAATGAAAATAAAAGTAAAAGCTACTGTTTTAATCCTGATTGGTTAATTTCTGTTTGAAGCTGTTTGTTTGAAACAAATACCAATAGAGACAAAGTTAAACAAGAAGGTTGTATCAAATATTCCTCACTGACAGATTGTCTCACTGTTATTTTCCAGTGGAACTATCGGCAGTGGCATTTGTGTATTTTCAAAGCACCTGATCTCCGAGACAAGCTACCACAGATTCCACCTCAATGGGCATCCCCACAAAATTCTTCACGGAGACTGGTTTGGAGGGAAGGGAGTAGGACTATGTAAAATTCAAATTCAAGAAAAACCACTAGAAATCAATGTCTATGCCACACATGTATGTTTTATTAAATTATTGCAATACATGAACATTTGATTTAAGTTTATTCTGTTAAACATTTATAGTCTGACAAAGTATAAATAGGCTGATATAGATATGTTTCAAAATAGTCTTATAATCACATAGATGGACATATATTATGACACTTGATTAATAATACCTGAATCTTCCAATGGAGTAAACTGATATTAACTTATTCAATAAACAAAACTAAGATTTAGAATGATGTAGACAAAAACTAAAAAGAAATGATTAGAAAAAAAATATTATTTTGAAATAAGTGTATATAAATAATTAACTCTAAGTTTAGAGACTTAGGAGGTTTTATTCTCACCAGTTCCATGCCGAGTACAACCCTGCTCAGGACGAATATGAAGCTCACAGACTTGCTCAAGCATTTGAACTCAGCCAGTTTATCAGGTAGTTGGACCCACAGGCTCGCCATAGGGGAATAACTGGAACATCAGTTTGATAAATAACACAACCTGGACTAAAGACTTTTAAATAGCTTCTTGGTTTCATATTCTGACTATTCCAAACTAAAACATTGATGAACATACATTGAAAAAGTGCAATGCTTATTCTATGTTGTATTGTTTGGCTGGGGGACACAGTCAGTTTGATAAAGGACAGGAATTTCAATGGACTGTGGGATAAACAAGCTGATTAAGAACACTTACAAAAGAGAAAAAAAAACATTGCTTGTTGAAGTCTGATGTAATGGTCACATCTTAGTGCGATACTTGATATAGGGGGAAAAAATAGTATAATTTACCATAATACACAATCAAAATCTAATATTCCCTCCTTCCACCACATTATAAATTATAAAAGTATACATTTTTTTTTTACTCCTAAATTAAACTGATTTTAAACATTTACCCCAGAAATACTTCCCGTGACTGTGATATGATCATAGTGGCAGGGGATCTTAACACTGGTCCTACACATCTTGGATACAAAGTAATTACACAACATGCTGATCTCAAAGATGCTTGGCTTGAAAAGGTAATTATCAAGAGGAAAAAAAATCAGAATTTCGTTTCCAGAGGAATTCAGATTTTGATCATGCAAAGAGTTACAAAAAATACGGCCAACTGGTGAATTAAACTTTCATTGAAAGTTTGCATTTTGTAGCAAGGACTGTAATACAGCTTGGGCTTAAGAGGTCAAAGGTCACCAACATCCAATGCAGATGAAGCTAGACTGAAAACTAGCAATAGCAACTACATTTTGTTTGTTATAATAGGTCAACTTTAAAATTAGCCTGCAGCAGATTTGTTTACTAATTATTAGAGTATTATAATCTCCCCATGGTCAGTAGGTCACCAACAACTACACTTTATGTAAAAAAGGTTAGATATATACAAAGATTTCAGTCATGGCTGGTTCAATATCAATAGTCTGTCATGATTGGAAATCATTGTACAATTTACTCTTAAACATATTAAATAGATCCAACTGCCTTAAGAGTTTTAAAAAATAAATTACTACATTGTTTTAAGTACAGGCTTGAAATATTACTGTTTTCATTAATTAATTGTGTGCATTCCTCTGCTTGAACTTAATCAAATTGAGAATAATTGTTTTTTTTAAACTCAGCTTTGATATTTAATTTGATCTGTATTAAAGGTTTTGATCCAGGGGCGTTGCCATCTATGTCTTAAGGGTAATAAATTTTGTATTATTTTGTTGAGAACAATACAGTGACCAATGAGCATGGAGGCACCTGTGATGTCCCAGGTAACACATACACAGGTAATGGAAATCCTGAAGGCGATCGCATTGACTACATCATGTACAGTACTAAAAATGGTACGTTTTTTTAATAGCAAATTAAAAATTGTAAAAGCTTGATAATTGGGCTTATCATGTACACTGCAGAGCCGGAACTTTCTATACAACTAACTATCTGATATGTGTGTTAATCTAGACATTTATTGTTGTATTCAAAGCTGTGATCATGACTGCTTGAGAAACAAGGCTCTGAGGAATTATTTCTGGGTAAAAAAATGTATTGTCCTTGTACCACTGATGAAATGATAAAACTTCCCTAGGTTATGAGGCAGCTGTGACAGATTGCATTATAGGAATAGGAAAAATCTCTAATCTGGGCATCAGCTACTCTGATCATGAGGCCGTCATTGCTTCCATATCTGTTTTTGGAGAAAGAGGTAAGAATAAACTTATTTCAATGGGAAATTTTTTTAAATTTAAAAGAAAAATTGCAATCAATTTGAAATTGAAATTTGAAAAATTTGAAATTTTCCATTAAAGATGAATATTTGCCGATTTTAAACTATGTCAACAACTTTAAGTTTATTGAGGTGTGCAGATAAAAGGGTCAAAATCAGATGCCCCGTCGTGATCTTACATCACTGACTTAACTCTGGCTAATGCATATAGTGTTTCCATTACACCTGTAAGAATTGGTGTCCTCACATCTCTGGCATCCTCATATCTCTGGCATCCTCATATCTCTGACATCCTCACATCTCTGGCATCTTCACATCTCTGGCATCTTCACATCTCTGGCATCCTCACAATTCTGGCATCCTCATATCTCTGGCATCCTCATATCTCTGGCATAAATTCCTTTTAAAAATTGGATGTCCGAAGTAGATTTCTCTTCCTAACACCATCTTCTGAAAAAAAAATATTTAAGTCTTCTGTAGTCAGGCAATTGAAGTTTTTGAAATGTATGAAAATGTATTTATCCCAATCATTCCACCAATTTATGAATTAGTCAAGTTAAGCTGTTGTTTTCATGATGTTATTCCTCAAGACTCGTTTGAGCCTTTTAGAAAATCTCCCCTGTCAAGAGATGTGAAGGAATGTCTACATGAAACTTTGCTTGTCCTAGATAAAGGAGTATCACAGTGCCTGAGTGAAGAGAAATTTTTTCAGGTAAATTCAAAATATCTAAATGTTATCTTAAGGTTTTGTTTTGACATTCCAGTGAAGCTGCGTGCCATTGGAATAAAATGTACCTGTTATAAAATAAACATCCCAGATTATACAAACTATTAATAAACAAAATTATCTCAAGTATTTTGAGCCTGAGAAAAAAATACAAAGTAGCAAAAAATTGATAAAAAAAATAAATATAATTAATGTTAGCTGACTTTCAGATTATTTGTATTTTTCTAATTTGACAACCCTCTTTATCCACACAAAAACCCCCTTCAGTTGGTGGTTTTTGTCCTGTCTCTAATTCTGTATGCTTTCAATGCATATGTGGACATAGCAGACTATAATGGGGGCATCATTGTGGCATTCACCATGGCGTCCACCAAGCTGTTGCTGGCCATTGCTATTGGCTTCTCTTTTTGGACAGCCCTGATAGTCAAACGTGCAGAGTTTCACGGCTTGATAGCGTGTAAGGAGGACATCATGAAGCTGCTTGGAGTCTGACAGCAGTCAAACTTGGGCTTGTAGTCTGAAAGCAGTCAAACCTGGTTGTGAGTTCCATCATTCCCCCCGAAGAGGCTGGTTGCATGATCGAAACATTATTGCTTTATTATATGTTTGTAGAAAACCCTTTACAGTCTCTACAAAGTCTATTCCATGCAGCAAAAGAAAAAACCATAAAATCTTTTTTTTTAAAATTATGATATTTTTTATTCCAAAACTAAATTAATACTTGTGTGATCTATATGGGAAAAATTTTGGTTGCAATTACCATTAACAATTTTCTTCACTTAAGTCAAGAATTATTTTTAAAACCAAGCATAGGAAATGCAAGGGTTAAATGGCTACCAAAAACAAAAAAAATTATTTGAATCTGTAGAATAAGGAAACAGAATATAGTTTTGGATGCTTCAGAAAGAGAAATTTTATTGGAAAATTTGTGTCAGAGATTATTGTCAAATCTTTCCTGTCAACACTTATTATACTGTTAACACTGGGATGAATTTATTTTAAAAAAATTTTTTAAATTGAAATGAAATGGTTACAGGTAATTTATTTTATGTGACTTTAGGATAAATTTGGATGAGTAATTGATAATAAAATGGGACCAAAATTTATTAATGAATCTTTGACTAAACTGATCATTCAAACTGCCCTTTTTGTATCAAACTTTTCATTGACATAATTCTATTAAAGATAGATTATTTTTTTAAAACTTTGAAAAAACCATTAATATCCATTTTATTTTAAGCTCAAGTCATCTTTTGTTTAAACACCAAATCAATAGTCCATTGAATAATCTCAGGGGAAAAATTGTAGCATTATGTGTTTTTACAAGCCATGGATGAATCTAATTTTAATGCCATACCATGTGACACTTGTGGATCTAGATCCCTGTCAAAAATTTGGGCACGGAAAATAGTTCATACATTACGGAAAATATTTCATACATTACGTTTAATTAAAATATTTATGTTTAATAATTATTTAGGGAACATTAGTTATTGTTATTTTTGTTTTGATTACATTTTGTGTAAACTGTTAATGTATCTCTCTACATCGATATTTAAAGCTTGTGTTATTTTGGAACTAACTTATAAAATAATTTGGATTTTTGTTCTGTTGATATGTAAATCCTGTTGCATATCATAATTTGTTGCTATGCTGGTGAAATAAAAATCTTGAAATTTTATTCTTCTAAAGAAACAACCTTTCAATTATATTATATGTGCCTATCTTGTTCATGAAGTAACAGGTATTCCAAGAATTTAATAATTTTTCAACAATGATGCATCAACACCATTTGGAAATAACTGAGGGACATAATGTGGGTTGTGCAGGGAAGGGCATTCCTCCTCCCCCCCCCCCCCCCCCTTTTTTTTTTTTTTTTTTTGAATTTGCAGGTTTTATTTAAAGTGCTATGTACTGTGGCGCCTCCAGCAATAAACAACTTAACAAGCCAGATTTATTGATGACAACATACATCCCAGACTGTTGAACTAAACAGCATAAAACATAAAAACTTGCACTAAAAGTAATCAATACATTTTTATCTAATGGATTGAATTTTACCATTTTTTTTTTACAAAGTCTACAAAATATATACCATGCAATGATGACAAGCTTCAAAGGAGATAGCAATAATTGAAATATATAACCCATGTATTTCGATTAAGGTTTAAAGTTTATGGAGATAAGATTCACAATACACAGATTGTTGTGTGAATCTTTCTTGAAGACAAAACTTATTATTAAATAGCCATCAAAACACTCTGCCAAGGTCAAGGATCATGAATTGGGTCTGCAAGTGTATCAACATGGAATAACAAAATTATTGCAATCGCCCAAGCTCAAGGCAACGTCCCCAATATTAGATCCTGAAGATTTCCTATCAGAAATGATAATGGCAACACGTCATTGCCCCCCCCCCCTCCAAACCAATTTAAAAAATTCACACTAATTATTAATCTATTTAATATTTAGTTAGTTTTTTTTTTTTTAGCCCACGCTTACTCTTGAAAAATAATCATATTCCTAGATTTTCGGAGGGACACTTATATTTATTGAATGATCTAATCTAATTCTAATGGAGTTGCTAATGTGTTTTTGTTTTGCTTTTTTTTTTTTTTAGTTGAAATGAAATAAAGGAGCAAAAAATAAAAAGGTGTGTGGGGGGGGGGGGGTAAAGAAACGATGCAATTTCAATCACTATTTATATAGAAAAGCTCCGATCTGAGAACAGTGAAGTCTTAATGAAATCAATAGCTGGCGTTTTAAGATTATATTTGTCGATCTAATTCATATGATAAGTGTGGTGTTTCATTCACGATGGATACTGGAACTTAGTCCGTCGAAAATCGACCACGACCATTTTAAACATCGACTTGTTGCCAGGGGCTTAATATGTCTGTGGGTGCGCAGATGGCGCATCAGATCAATCAATTCTGGCACGAAATTTTCTGGTTTCAGAAGGCACCAGGGGTGGGGGGGGTGGGGTAAGGGGTTGATGGGACACCTCCAAAAACAGAGTTAACTCGGGCTTTTCTAGCTTGTCTTTTGTGTTCTGTAGCAGGCAAACTGTAAGCCTCATGTTGTAATGAGCCCTTGTTTGGGAAGAGCGCCCCCAGTCTCGATTCTTTGAGGACTGTTACCACATGTCCAGGTCGATGTGAAACGCATTCAAAGATGCTTTTTTGTGTCTTTCACAAGTTTCATTTGCCCCCGGGAAACCGCATGCCCTGCTTGAACTCACTATACAATGCTGCTTTGAGCAAGCGGTGGTCTGGCATTCTCGCAACATGTCCCGCCCAGCGAAAGCTGGAACTGAATCAATAAGGTGTGTATGCTGGGGAGACCTTGTTGTACGAGTACCTCATTGTCTGGGACCTTGTCCTGCCTGGATGTGTGAGTACATTCAGTGTCTGGGATCTTGTCCTGCCAGACCTGCTTATGCGAGTACCTCAGTGTCTGGGACTCCTACCAGACTTGCTTGTGTGAATACCTTCAGTGTCTGGGATCTTATCAAAATATTTCATTAACGAAGTGATACGGTTTCTTTTCACTTTAACTTTATTTATGTTTTTGATATACCGGGTATTATCCTTTATGTTCTTGATCAGCTGATAATACTGACAGATGTATATGATCCTTTTTGCATAAGTTAAGGAGTATTAATAAAGTGAATAATTGTCTAAAGGGTTTTTTTTTTTTTAAATTTTGCTCTTGAGATGTCATGTGCGACCCTAGACTTAACGGATAAAAAGCTTTGGCCTACGCAGTCAAAAAAAAGTCATAATTGTCTATGATCTCCTAGAGGCATTCTCTGCTGAAAGTGTTGAACGCCTTTTTTAAGTCTATACAGGTGCAGAAGAGGTCAACATTTTGTTCCTGGCGCTTTTCCTGGACAACGGATAAGTCCTTAAAATTCTATTTCTATGGTATCTTCTCTTGCCGCCACATAAGCAGAGAAACAGCTGGTGAAATTTTTCAGCAAGAGCTGTTTCAATTTCCTTGTAAATTTCAGCTGGGATCACCTTTGTCACTTGAGAAATGGCACACAGCTCGTTTGTGTCTCGTTTAGGGTGGGGGGGGGGGGAGAGGGTTCTATAATTCTTGATTGATGGGCACCTTCGGGAGTAGATTCATTTCCTTGTAAATTTCAGCTGGGATCACCTTTGTCACTTGAGAAATGGCACACAGCTCGTTTGTGTCTCGTTTAGGGTGGGGGGGGGGGGAGAGTGTTCTATAATTCTTGATTGATGGGCACCTTCGGGAGTAGATTCATCTCTTCGTCCTTGACAGATGAAGGGCGATTCAGGATACTCTCAAAGTGCTCTTCCCAACCTTTGATAATTTTCCCCCTCAGTAATCAGAGTTTTCTCATCAGCACTCAGAAGTGGGGATGATCCTAATGAAGTGGGGGCCACAGACTTTTTTGAGAGCGGAGTAGACATTTCTCAGATCGCGTCAGCCTTATCACACAACCATTTATCCTGCATTTGACGTAGTTTTTGCTGCACTGTATTTCTTTTGTTGTTGTATGCGTCTTTCATGCGAATTAAATTCGGGTTGTTAAGATAGGAGTCGTGAAGACGGTGTTTTTGCTCCAGCAGCTGCTTGATTATACTTATATATATATATATATTTTTTAGTTTGGTCCCAGAACCCCAATAGCGGTGTTATACAACAATATTTTGAGAGATGCCCAATCCGATTCGACTTTGTGATTATCTAGAGGTGCGGATTTCAGACGTTCTTCCAGAGCATCCACTAAAGCCTTTTTGACAGTCTGGCTCTTCAACTGTGGTCGTCTTTTGGATTGTGAGTGAAGGTTGAGCTTGGTGATGATGAGATGATGGCCTGTCCAACAGTCTGCACCACATACAGACTTGTTTACACGCTCGCCCACGACTGTCCTTTCTCCTGATGATAACAAAGTCGATGATACGCCAATGTTTTGAGCGAGGGTGCATCCAGGATTTTCGAAAACGCGTGGAGTGGTCAAATGACATTTGTTTAGTTTTAAATGCCAAAACTGGGTCAATTCAGTTTATGTAAGGCGTGGGCGCCGGATTTAGAGCTGGCGATGGTTGCCATTTTACCTACTTTTGGTGTTTATCAATGCTCTGCCCCCCCCCCCAACCACCCTCCAACACCTAATATGCCCACAGCTATCAAATTCTCTGAAAGAAACACTGGTGATTGGACCTTGGATGGTTTCTCATTCAAAACATGGAAAACTCCTATTGCAAATCACCGCTGCGACTCCGACAGGCCTAACAAAGTGGCAGGTGACACAGGGGCGTAGCTAGAGTTGGTGCCGCCCAGGAATGGACAAGATGTTTACCAACCCTCTTCCACGAAAAAGCTCTGCAGTAAGCCGTAAATGCCATCCCTTAATATAAAGAGAACAACATGAAAAGCGCCGCCCGTGACTGAACGCCCGCTGTTACAGAACGCACCCCGTGACAGAACGCCCCCTGTTACAGAACGCCCCTTTTCCCATGTCACTACCCCCCCCCATGCAAACAGTAAGCACGGATAGATCGCAAACTTTGTGACATATCGCTGATTGCACCTACCTTCCTGCGACGCCTCCGCTCTATAGTAGCAGACAGAACGAACCTTGACCTAGCCGGACTTTTGAAAGTGTCACGTGATAGACCGAGGCAAACACTTCTGGCTGCTTGTTTGTAATTTAAACAAAGGAAAATTGTTGCATCCGGACTCGTCACTCGCGCAACGGTATGTGTGTGTGGGTGTATATGTGGTTGTACGTGTGTGTACTATAGTACGTCTCTTAAAAATTAAAAAAAATCTATTCTGCATTTGAAAGCGAAAAGTGGGAGAGAAAACAACTCGCTATTACAAGTCTTAATAGTGATCAGTGGCGTAGAAGGGGTGGCGTGCCGGGGGATGGATCGCCCCTGACGGCACTTTTTTTCTCTTATATGAAGGAGCGGAATTTTCAGCCGAATTCAAGATTTTTTCTGGGAAAGGGGGCTGTAAAATTCATGGCTGGGCCGCCCCGGGTGGCACTAACGTGACCGGTTCCAGCGCCCCATTTTGGAGTTCAAGCCTCATTTCGGAGTTCAATCGCGCCATCTTGGATTTACAGAGCCCTCTAAAATCTACCAAACGTTTTAGAGTGCCCGGGGGTATCTCAACCAATTTGATAACCACTGCTTTAAACCATAGTAGCAAAATAAACATAAGCAAAAACTACAACAGATTTGGTTACATTTCTTGAACTATTGGCGCCATTTAGGCAGAATTTAACCTATTCCTACAAACCTCCAGTCACACAACCCAGAAGAAGACGCAGAAAAGTTAGAGCTTGATCATGTCGTGGCACATTAATTTCTGAATTGTTCTCAATATTTATCATACATTTTGTCGGTTGTTTAATTAAATTAATGTGTACCCCTAGAACATTTATTTTCGTTTTCCTTGAAAAAATTAAATTTATTGCAATTTCAACTGGACCAACGAATAAGTGGCCCTACTTTGTTTAACCCAAACCTTTACAACATCAACGTAAGCTTTGAAGGCATTCTTCAGTTTTGCTGATGATTCGAGTAATAGTCCGTCTACGGTGAAACAAACGAAAAATAAAAATGAAGCGGGCCGCGATCTTTAAAAGGTTGAGAGCCACTGTTTTAGGTGGTCACTCGACTTCTCCATTTTGGGAATTGTAGCTGGAACCTATTCTTAAAGGTCATCATTTTAAAGTACATCCTTATTTATTTATTGCTAATTACTCAACTGAGCGTTTCTAAAATTATGTGCACATCCTGCTCCCTATACACTTTCGGTAAAGAGAGGATAGCAACATAAAATTTTCTTATAAAACAGGAGAACCAAAAAAAAAAAAAAAAAAAAAAAAAAAAAAATTTTCTTAAAAAACAGGAGAAACAAAAAAAAAAAAAAAAAAACTGAAAAAAAATTGTTTAGATTTCTTGAGGGACACCCCCCCCCCCCCACAAAAAAAAACTTTTCTTTTAAATCATCAAAAGATAAAGGGTTGCTGTATTTCATTAAATAAATGTTCACCTTTTAAATAGTATCTTGGTGTCTTGTTTGACGATGTTAGAAGCAACGTATTATTTCATAAGCCTTAATGTTATCTAGCGATGCTGTACATTTTATCATTACTCGTTTTAAAACCATCTCATTTCTCTAACAAACAATAAAAAATTCGTGAGTTTTTTAAAATACTGTTCAGGTGGCAGTATAGGTGGAGGTACAGGGCATTGCAGGTGGAAGTACTTGGCATTACAGGTGGAAGTACAGTGCAGTACAGGGGGAAGTACGGGGCAGTACAGGTGGAACTACAGGCAGGTACAGGTGAAAGTGCAGGGCAGTACAGGTGGAAGTACAGGTGGAAGTACAGTGGGCAGTACAGTTGGAAGAACAGGGCAGTACAGGTGGAAGTAAAGGGCAGTAAAGATGGAAGTACAAGGCAGTACAGGTCAAAGGGCAGTACAGGTCAAAGGGCAGTATAAGGGGCAGTACAGGTGGAAGAACAGGGCAGTGCAGGTGGAAGTACAGGGCAGTAAAGGTGGAAGTACAAGGAATTACAGGTTGAAGTGCAAGGCAGTACATGGGGCAGTACAGGTGGAAGTACAGGGCAGTACAGGTGGAAGTGCAGGGCAGTACAGGTGGAAGTACATGTGGAAATACAAAGCAGTACTGGTTGAAGTACAGGGCAGCACAGGTAAAAGTACAGAGAAGTTCAGGTGAAAGTACAGTGGGCAGTACAGGTGGAAGTACAGATTGAATTACAGTTAGAAGTACCGGACAGTACAGAAGGAAGTACAGGGCTGTACATGTGGAAGTACAGGGCAGTACAGGTGGAAACACAGGGCAGTACAGGTGGAAGTACAGGGCAGTACAGGTGGAAGTACAGCGCAATACAGGTGGATGTACAGGGCAGTACAGGTGGAAATACAGGGCAGTACAGATGGAAGTACAGGTGGAAGTACAGGGCAATACAGGTGGAAGTACAGGGCAGTACAGGAAGAAAAAGAGGGCCATACAGATGGAAGTACAGATGGAAGTACAGGGCAATAAAGTTAAAAGTACAGGTCAGTACAGGTGGAAGTACAGGGCAATGCAGATGGAAGTACAAGGCAGTACTGGTGGAAGTACAGGGCAGTACAGGTGGAAGTGCAGGGCAGTACAGGTGGAAGTACAGGGCAGTACAGGTGGAAGTACAGGTCAGTACAAGGTAAGACGTTGTGATGAATGTTTGGAATGGTCAGGTAAATCTAACATACACAGCTCAAACACAGAAGTATGTATGAGAAAGAGAGAGGGGGGGGAAGGATAGAGGGGAAGAGAGAGGGAGAAAGAGGGAGAATGTGGGAGTGAATTTGACTTATAATTGAAGAAATGATGAATAATACCATTTCATGAACTTTATTTTTAAAAAAATTCTAGACAATGGTATTAATTAAGATGGAGAGACTGCAATCCTGTTAGAAATGGAAATGAGTGAAATAAAAAGTAATGGAAAACCTGAAAAAACATTGTTGGATTTTTTTTTTCTTCAGCTTTTCACGAAATTTGTTTTGCTCATTTTCTTTTCCCTAGAAAACGAAAAATTCTATTGTCTCAAGAAACACTGTATCCTTTTCAGTAAAGTCACATGATCACCGTCACCGATGCGCCCACCAATAATTACTTATTACTGTACATCCTGTTATCACACTATATAAGACAGACATATTTTCTTAGCTTGACAAAACAAAGCATTCTACCGAGTGAAAGCAAAGGGTAAGTGAAACTTGGCATCTTTACAGATGGACACCTTATGTCTTAATTATGTATATAACTTGTGTAGCATACTTATTTGAATTTTAAAAAAAAAAAGAAAAAAAAAAAGAAGTTAGAATCATTTGTAATTTATGTTTGTCAGAGTTAGTGTGTTTTCGTGACCACTTTAAGCGCTCTATTAAGCTCTTTTAATTCACTTTGATTTTTTTTCCATACAAATTATTGAGCTGATATTAAATCAATGCAGATGTGTAATGAACAATCAAATATTATTATATGTATCTGCGTTCAGTCTATATTTATTTTAAAAGAAACACTATTATTGAAAAAGTGAGATAGTTTTGTATTTAAGTCATGAAAACCACTGAAAAGTGCTGCAATTATTTATCACACGATAACCAATATTCAAACAATGCTCATTCTAATTTTCTTTTAGCTAACTTGAAGGTTCAAAGAACGTGAAATCATGGGCTCAAAATCGAGGACATTTGATTGTCTGTATGATGTGAAGTCCTTTGTTATGGACTCGACTCAGAGAGAAATCGCTTTTCTCGCGCACTATCTCGGCTACGGCTGGTGTGGAGGAGGTCCGAATAGCGCCATCGGTGAAGGTTTTGTACGTGATGGGGACACACTGCGTTCCGACCTCAACGGAATTCCTGACGGATACATGAAAGAGCAACGCCTCGCCATGGCATATGGCGACTGGGGTTTTTCAATCAAGGAAATAACCTATGGTGATCCTGTGGTAGAGGAGCTGAAACCCGAGTCTATTGACAGTGGAGCGATTTACAACAACGATGCGACAGAAGTTACCAAGAGCTTTGAAAGATCAGAGACCTGCGTGCGCAGTGTTACCCACACGACTACAAGCGGTTGGAAAAAAAGCCACGAGTTGGGTCTGACATTCAGCTACACACCTCCATCACTAACGGGTGGACCTGGAGGTTCGATCGCCTACAAATTTAACTACGAGTCCTCCAAAACCACCACTGACGAGACCAACAACCAACAGTCCAACACGTTTTCCATCAACTCGTCTAAAACCCTTAGGCCCTACTCGGCGGTCAAGTGGGATCTCATGGTGTCCAAGACCAAGACGACCGTCCCTTACACTGCCGTTATTCTGATGAAGTTTTCCACCGAACTTCAGGGATTTCTGAGATGGGGAGGAGGTCCTGCCAACCCAGGAACCAATTACCATTACCAGTTCCGTGGAAGCGGCAAACGCCCAACTTTCAACTTCCGTTTCGGGGATGGTCAAGTACCTTTCTACACTGCACTGAAACGAAGCAACGAGACCAACAGCAGACCGTGGTTGTGGCGAGACATGGAACACGCCTACCCAGATGCCCAAGACCGCATCAATGCCTTAATCAACGAAGATCGCTTTGTCTTCACACTGACTGGGAGATTTGAGGATGTAGTCGGCAAAAAAGTTGATATTCACTGGGACACTATTCCCTTGGTCCTCCATAATGCTGAGCAATGAGTGTTTGTCTGATGGTGGTCATGCAATGAACAATCAGTTCAAGATGTTTCAAAATCTGATAAACAGAATTTTTCACATTTCATATTGTAATATATTCTTTTCCAACACAACAATTATAAAAGGGTTGATACTGATTTTTTATAAAGTTGTTTATATATTTTTTCTACTTTTAAAAATTCTAACGTTCGATTCAGAGTAACATCTGTTATATATTAATAATAATATGTATTGCATCTGGTGTGTCCTGCTTCCTTTTCACAACCGCCCCCCACCCCTTTTTTTTTTACTCCATATGTTTTATATCAACAGTAATGAATGAAAACAAAGCTGCCACGCAGTGGGCGCCTTACGTGCCTTTGAACTCGCTTAAAAATGTGGATTTTTTAATTTATTTCTTTTACTTCAAGGGGAGGCTACTTTTATATTAATCACTAAAGAGCCACGGGTAGGGTGTAGGATTGTCTTTAGGCCAATTGTTTAAAGGCTAGGGTGTAGGATTGTCTTTAGGCCAATTGTTTAAAGGCTAGGGTGTAGGATTGTCTTTAGGCCAATTGTTTAAAGGCTAGGGTGTAGGATTGTCTTTAGGCCAATTGTTTAAAGGCTAGGGTGTAGGATTGTCTTTAGGCCAATTGTTTAAAGGCTAGGGTGTAGGATTGTCTTTAGGCCAATTGTTTAAAGGCTAGGGTGTAGGATTGTCTTTAGGCCAATTGTTTAAAGGCTAGGGTGTAGGATTGTCTTTAGGCCAATTGTTTAAAGGCTAGGGTGTAGGATTGTCTTTAGGCCAATTGTTTAAAGGCTAGGGTGTAGGATTGTCTTTAGGCCAATTGTTTAAAGGCTAGGGTGTAGGATTGTCTTTAGGCCAATTGTTTAAAGGCTAGGGTGTAGGATTGTCTTTAGGCCAATTGTTTAAAGGCTAGGGTGTAGGATTGTCTTTAGGCCAATTGTTTAAAGGCTAGGGTGTAGGATTGTCTTTAGGCCAATTATTTAAAGGCCTGCTTGAAGAGCGGAGTGGGACTGTAAGACTATTGTTTAAAGGCCGGAAGCTAGTGTTTAGAACCATCTGCAGGTCTACTCTTTACAGAAAAGGTCAATTTAACCCTTTTTTTTATTTGTAACATTGGAGCCACCGGTTATTGTCTCAAAATATCTGGAACCGGTGTAAAAACAACTGCATCCGGTTAAGAAATAGTTTCAAATATTTGGGTGGGAACGGAGCAACGAAACGTTGAAACGCTTGGATGGCCCAAAAGTGGTAAAATATCAAAGGAAGACAGACAAGTCATCGTGACTCAAAGAAGACGGTTCAATCAGATCAATATTTGGGGGGGGGGGGGGGGGGGGTTGTGTTTTGGTTTTATGTTTGTGTGTGTGTGTGGGGGGAGCGGGGGACTCATGATTCTGTTTTTAAATTTGAATACTTATGTTTGATTGAAATTTTTGATATTTTGTTTAGAAAATATTTTGTAAACATCATCTATTTGGTTTCCAAATCAATATTTTGAAGCATGTATTATGTAAGCACTCAATTTTTGTTTGTCACGAAAATCTTTTTGTGTATCCTTCTTTTCTATCACGCTATTGTAATAAAATCTTGAAAGTTATCTTTTAAAAACAATCAATCACTTATGCTTTTGTATGTGTGGCTATCTCATAACAAGGGGACACAACACTATTTACGGGGTGGGTGTGGGATGGGCATGGAGGGTATGGGTGTAGCAACATAACATTTGGTCAAGATTGCTCCAGTGCTGGATTATTTATTGACACCCTAGACTGTTGGATAACAGAACACAGAGCATAACAACGTAGCGTCTTACACCAACAGTAAACAAAACATTTTAGCGAATGAATTGAATATATTAAATAATAAATAAATTGGACACAAAATCTACAAAATCTGATCAAACCACGGCAGTGTTAACCAGCTGCGAAGGAGCTACCAGTAAAACATAAATTACGTTTGTGTAATTTGGAAAAGGCTAAAATGATTCAAAATTTGTGAAAACCGTAGCGTTGTGAGGGGATGGGAGCCTCAACGGTTGACACCACCAAATAGGTTGGCACCAACAGACAGGTTGGCACCACCGGTTAGGTTGGCACCGCCACATATGTTGGCACCACCACACAGGTTGGCACAAACACACAGGTTGGCACAACCACACAGGTTGGCACAACCACACAGGTTGGCCCCCACCACGTTAGAAGCAACGGTGTCGCTCCTGTGCTTAAATTGTGTATAATGAATGTCTCGGGCAGCATGTCTTATCATGATGGATTTAAAACGATGTAATTTTTCAAAACAACTCATGTATGCATTTATTAGTGGTTAGTGGCAGTGGCGCAGCTGAGGTGGGAGGGGGGTTGGGGTTGGGTGGGTGCGGACCACACCGGGTGACACCATCTCAGAGCCCACAATGCTCGGTCTAAACAAACTTCATAAAAAGGGTAACCGATCACACGTAATTTTTTCCACACATGTAACCAATCCAAATGCGTGCTTTATGAAACTTTAAAGGTTGTGTTGGAAATTGACAAAATACTGAATGTTGCGCATTGTTTTGCACACCAAATTTATTGTGTATTGACGTTACGTTGTCGTGCAGTCCTTGTCGAGGACTCCATGTTGTTCTCTTAAAATTAAAACGTTGAACTAACCTTGATGGTTGCCATTGCTTGTTTCATTATCTTCCTTGTGAAGTTGGATTAGCAACATAATATTTTCAAACGGTTGTTGCCTCAGAAATGTGGTGGCCCTTTAAATATTGAGAAAAACACCGTTTTGACCACGATTCAAGCCCGATTTAAATGCACACAACTGGCTAACACAGGTAGATTTTAGACACATTACTGGCTAACACATATTGATGTTAGACACAATAGAGCTAAAAATGAAGACGATCGGGCCTCTGCATAAATGTAGTTTATTAAATGGAATGAAAATATGAATAAAGATACGGGAAATTTACATTTTATAAAGAAATGAATAAGGTGAAATACACAAAATATCTAATTCTCACAGAAATATAACGAATATTAACACAAGTATAGGTTTCTAGCAATTTCTCATTGAGGTGTAATGTTGTGCAGAAAGCAATTCATCATTTAGGTGTAATGTTATTCATAGACCAATTCATCACTGATATGTAATGTCATACAGAGAGCAATTCATCGTTAAGATATAATGTTATACATAGAGCAAATTCATCATTAAAATACAATGTTATACAGAGTGCAATTCATCATTGAATTGTAATGTTATACAGAGAGCAATTCATACTTGTGGTTTAATGTTATTCTCAAAGTGCATAGCAATATCCGGTTGCTTACAAATACTTTGTTAAAATTACTTTAAAAAATAAAATATGCCAAAATTATCTACAAAGAGCACTTCCATTTTCTGCATTATTATAAAATATTTTAAAAACTATCCAGTGAAAGGAAGATAACAAGGTCATTATTAAATATTTATTAATTGGGATAACTGATTATTGGCCTTTAATTTACGATGCCAAAACACGATATTTCGTAAAGTCTTTGTATGGCTGGAGATGACGTTAAGGCCTCATTTAGGGTTAAATGACTATATATTTTTTGAGAAAGTAAAGCCATCATATTATCATCTGCTGTTTGGAGTTAGAAATCTGGTTTCTTTCTTCAACTTGCAATTCTCTTTATCTGCATCTAGCTGGTGAGACTGAAACGGCCCCAGCCGACGCTATCTGTTGCTAGGTGCTTTCATCTGGACAAGCTGACCACCCACTGACACTTGAGCTCGTCTTTAAAACATGTCTGTGTCGCTATAATTCCCTTTTCTTTGCAAAGATGATTTTTTGGGGGATACGATCATCTCACATGTGAGAAAGAGGCAGCTGTCTTGTAAGAAACGTGGCTTCAATGCAGTGCTCCTTTCAGGGATCTCAACAATGCAGTGTTTCTTTCAGGGATCTCACCAATGCCGTGTTTCTTTCAGGGATCTCAACAATGCAAGGTTTCTTTCACGCATCTCAACAATGCAGCGTTTCTTTCAGACATCTCAACAATGCAGTGTTTTTTCCAGACATCTCAACAATGCAGTGTTTTTTTCCAGACATCTGATAATGCAGTGTTTCTTTCAGGGATATCAACAAGGCAGTGTGTCTTTCCGGCATCTAAACAATGCTGTGTGTCTTTCTTCTTCTTCTTCTATATCTTAAGGGCCCACGATCAATTTATTGATCATTTTGGCTCCTATGCATGTAGATGGGATTTGCAATGTTTCTGTTACTGGTGGTGATGAGGAAATTATGCACTAGGGGTTTGAAGGCTTGAGGCAATAGACACAAATGTGTCTAGTGTTGTCGCCTCAACTGTTCCTTTTGAAAGCTTGTTCCAGTCCCTGATTGTCTTGGGCAGGAATGAGCAGCTCCTATACTGGCTTCTTGCTGGTATGAGCCTGAATTGCCTGTCATGGCCTCGTCGCTGTCTATGGGGGAGAGGGACGAGTTTCTGTTTAATACTGGAACAGTGGACCAGCCCATTATTTATCTTGTACATCATGGAGAGCCTGGATTGTCGTCGTCGTTTCTCCAATGGTGACCAGCCTAGTGTTTCTAGCATGCTGCCAACACTAGAGGTATTCCTGTAGCGGTTTAGGACAAAGCGTGCTGCTCGTCGCTGGACCGCCTCCAACCTGTCAATGCTCTTCTGGGTAAATGGGTCCCAGACTGAAGATGCATAATCTAAAATCGGACGGATAAAGGCTTTATATGCTCTTTCTTTCACACAGGAGTTGCCAATCTTTAGATTTCGCCTTAAGAACCCCAAGGCTTGGTTTGCTTGGTTACATACATTGTTAATATGCTCGTCCCAGCGGACCTCTCTTTGAATGGTAACACCCAGGTACTTTACGGAGGAAACTTGCTCAAGAATATGGCCGTGCAGTTTGTATTGGTAGTGTAGAGGAGTACAACCTCAACAATGCCGTGTTTCTTTCAGACATCTCAACAATGCAGTGTTTCTTT